AACTCAAAGCAGTCTGCTCCTCAGATAAATAGTGTTAAATTATTATTTTTATACATGAATGTTTCTGTTCAGTACACTGAGATGACTTCTGTTGCGACTTGGCGCTATATAAATAAAGTGAATTGAATTGATTGATTGATATCATTTTTAGTATCTTTTAAACCCAGTTGAACAAGTTTGGCGTAGGGTTTGTGTTTTAGTCTCCGTGTATTTTGGAAAAGGTGAAAATAGAGATGTATGCAACTTTCTGTTGTGTTGTCAGTGTCACTTGACGTGTGCAGCACAGAGCCCTTGTCAAAGAAATTAATTAGAAAAAGAAAAAAAGGGCGAGGACTGATTTTCAGGCTACTCAGTGTCCTGGAATTCCAAGTATTTTGAGAGGATCAAAACAGCAGGACAAGTGATCTGATATTCTGAGGATAAATCAAGGGACATTTTCTAAACAAGTACTTTACAAGAGCTTGCCAAAATAAGTTATTTTAACTGTTATTTTTTTATTTTTTGCAAAACTACCAAAAGCTCTGTTTGAAAAAACTGAAAGAATGCCTGCACTTCATTGTAGCTTTTATAAAAAGACAAAAGATTCAACTAACAAAATAAAAATACTGCAGTATGATAGTTTGTCCAAACAGTGAGCCATCACACTAGTCTTTTTGCAGGCACTGCACTAAAAGTAACACCTGTGTGTGGTTGTGTGTGTGTGTGAAAGTTCCATAACTTTAATAATGAGCATGTAGCACCGCTCAGCAACCAATATGATGGAAAGAGATGCACACATGCTTGAAGAATACCAGCTGGTGCAACCATCATTTGTGTTTTTAATTAAATACTTGAGATTTTATGTATAAGAGCTTTTCTAGTTAAAGTCAGAGTAAAACACACAAAAAAGACCATTATTATCATATCATTTTTAGGTTGCTACTTTTGTTCATCATTTAATAGAGAAATGACTTTTATTAGGAATGGCACATGGTTTGTTTGTGTACTGGAGGTCCATGAAACAAAACCGTGTACTGGAATGTTACAAAAGGAAAATCAGAACCTCCTATTAGCTGCAGATAACCTTCTGAAAGGTTCAGATGATCCTGAGGTGCTTTGAGCTTCTAGGCAGAATTGGCACAATTATGGAACTCATAAGAGTTATCAAAATAAACCTTTCCTGGATCTTTGCAACAAAGCTGAGTCTTTTAAGCAGGGTTAGAAGTTTGTATTATGACAAGTAGCTAAAGATTTAGTAGAGAGTAACTATAGAATAGAATAGAATAGAATAGAATAGAATAGAATAGAATAGAATAGAATAGAATAGAAACAGCTTTTCTTATCCCACGGATGGAAAATTCAAGTGTAACAGCAGCAACAGATATAAAGGTCCACACAAACTAAAATGTAAAAAAAAAAAAACAATATATAAAGAAATAAGATGAGCAAAAACAATAATAATGTTCAAAAATGTTCAATTTGTATTGAACATTGAGAATGGCAGACTATTTACAGTACAGTATTATAGGTAGTGTGGGTGATTGAGCAAAGGTCAGCATGCATTTAATATTTATTGAGTTTGTTGGGATGCTTTATTAGTTATTTATTTTTATATTATGCTTTATTTGCCAATGGCTGGTTCATGTTCGTATTTTGAAAGGCTTATTTATATATCTAGTCAGAGGTTTACCCACAAATATGCCTGCTTTTTACTCTGAGAGTGGGTTGATCATGCTTTGGGGTTGTGTTTCACTGGTAGATGGAAGAGTGGATTTAATTAAATGCCAGCAAATCCTAGAAGCAAACATCACAATGTGTGTTTAAAAGCTCAAGATGAAAACAGAGTGGCTTATACAAGAGGGTGGTGATCCATGTCCCATCAACAGAGTCACAGTGGACCAGTTCAGAAGGTGCAAGTTGAATATTTTTCCATGAATCCCAGAGTTAAGAATTTTATAAGAAATAAAGAGGTATTAGAATTGTTGGAATGTTAAAGGAGATCTATATTTTAAGGAAGTAAAAATAAAATATATATATTAAAAGCCTCAAAGAAACTCCTAAGATTCTCAGGAGAAGCCAAACATTTAAAATGTTGTGACAAAAGTCCTTTAAAACTTTATTGTGCATGAAATATGTGTTTACAGGGCACATAGAAACAAATATAAACCACACATAGTTGACATTTAAATTAATTAAAACTTAATATTTAAATCAAACTTCACTGTTGGGAGTTTGAATCTCTTCCACTCACATGCACAGAAATCTGAGAAGAGACAAACTTGGACAAAACAGACAAATCTCCCTCGTTTTCTGCTGTGCACGACTCTTTGTGTCGCCAGAATCGTGTCAAGTGGAATTTAGAAATGCTACTCTCTGCAGTTCTTCGTCCTCCCAAGCTGCATAAGCAAAGCTTAGCTAAGCTAGCTATGCACAAACACTTTCTTTCTTCTTTTTTTTTCCTCCCAGGGTTATGAGAGAAATAACTGTGGCCAAATTAATTTTCTTCTCTCTGCTTGTGCTGCTGCAACCTGAGGGATCATTGAGGCAGAGAATCAGCCAAAAAGAGCCAAGATGGTGCTGAAGGAGGAAAGGAGAGCAGTGGAATTTTAATGGGGCTGTCTTGTCTTTTTCCTTTCCATCTAAGAAAAGCAATTACGGTACTATCACTTCTCTCCTCTCTGCTGTGTTTGCTTACCTGCACGTCTGACTTTAGAGCACACAGTTTGTATGTTACATGTGCAAAGGGCAGATGTACTGCTGGGTATATGGGAATGCTGATACAATAGGAACGTTTCTGAAAGCTTGAATATAGTCAGGGTATTTTAAATACCATTTTAATACCATAAATGTTGTATTGTACATGCTGCATTTGCCTAAAGTGGTGAGCTTTATAACTGGTAATATCAGCATAAATTTTAGTTCTTTCCTTTTAAATTGTGATTGTAAAAATGTATTTGTTGTATAGTGCCTTTTTTTAGGTTGTCTGAATGTTGAGTTAGATGTCGTCGAAGTTTTGAAAAATAATAAACACAGATGAGCAAATGACAGAACTGATGGACAGATGGGGCAGTTGAAGCAACAGTCGAGGTAGTACTGCGAGATGAGCGAATGTTGTCTAAAGTTACTTAAAAAGCCAACAGAAATACAACAACGACAGGCAAGTCTGTTTATACAGCACACTTTAACAAGATTCACAGTTCTCAAGATAAACTAAAATACAATAAAACAGTGTGTCGACAGGGATAACGGAATAAAATCAAACAGGACAAAAAGATAATAGAAGAAATGGAACGATTGCTTTGGGAAACCCTGTGATTCAGTTTGTGAACTTCATATCTCACTGTTGATAAAGTTAAGTCTGTTTCTATCAGGTGTTGGTATCAGGGTCTGTGTCAACATCCAGATATGAATTCAGATTTGACAATCGGATGCAACTGATTAGAAACTGGGCTATTAATTTACACTATAAAACTGGTAGACTTTATATCTTTGTTTCTTTTAGAGCTTGGCTGTGAACTTTGACTGATGCAGCCGGTCTGCAAGTTCATTACGCCTTTCATTTAGAGAAAAGATGTAAGAGATTACAGAAAATGTAAGATCGCGTCATTTGTCAAACACCAATCATTATGACCGTTGTGTTGGATTGTACAATTTTAGCAACAAAGGAGAAAACTGCTCAGCTAAAACATGATTTTTGTTGGAGTCAGGATGATTTTCAGCAGAAAGCAGAGATGGTAAATGGATTACAGAATACTTGCTCTGTTTCATCATGCTGAACAATCAACCACTATCTGGAGAATGCTGGATTGCAGCCAGATGGAAAAACTGTAAATCAAGCTAGATAATATTTGGTATCCAGGCAAGCCCTGGGTTAGGTCTATACCAGTGTGATTGCAAGAAGTGATGCTTAATGCTGTAACAAGATGTTAATCAGTGGCTTAAAACATGTCAAACCTTTAAGTTCAATTTAAAATTATTTGTTGTGAAGCTGCAACTCTGCATTCCTTTTTATCTCACTAACAAACATGTAACGTCACTTCCACTCTTAACAGGTATGGAGGATCAGTCATAATCATGTTGTTCAGTTGAAGTACCGGTACACTTGAACAATTCAAGCAATTTTAAATTTGGTGGTTTTCAGGACAATTTTATCAAATTATGAGCAACTTCTTGAGCAAGCCAAAGTTTCATTCCATTAGTAGTCCTGCTCGCCCACCTCTACTTGCACAGCAGGCAAAGAGAGAAAATAGTTCTGCAGTCCAAATTACAGTATTGTTATGATCAGAGTGTGGAGTGTGCTGCAAAATTAGCGACAGCTAATTAAAGTTGATGTGGCAGCCGACATGCCAGTTTGTTCTGAGATGCAGAGAAAATGGCTCAGCTCCGCAGCTGACAAAGACTTGAGTGTAAAAGGGTGAAAAGAATATTCTTTGTCAATATTGCAGATCTAAAAAGCAAAAATCTAAACCATAAATATGGTCAAAATAAAAATAGTTTGTGCTGTGGTTGACAGAGATATATGATTTCCTACACCCTCATGTAACCTTAAGGTTTGGGCTTTTTTTTGCCCCAAATTCATTCTGAATTGGTGCTCCACTATATGTCCCGGCTTTTTGCTTTTACCCCGAAGCAATCTCATAAATGTGTGGAGCAATTTGGTGTGGCATTTCTTGATTCCGCTGCTGTTGTTCTTATAGTTTTTGCTCTGATGTGGAGGGGGGAAAAAAGAAGTGATTTTGTGTTTTGAGGTGAAATGAGACTGTTCAGAAATACTGAGATAGTTCACTGTAGCTTTTTGATGTATTTTTTTCTGTTGTAAGCTTAATAGGAAGCTGCACACAAGTTTTCATGTATATAATACACATAAGTGAGACTGATGAGGTCATACTGCAGAGAACCTCCAAATCATCAACATAATAAATATCTGAGTAAATGAGCTCTGGTGTTCAGTGTTCAGTACCCCTCATTTTGACTACTTCTGCCTTCTTTTGCTGACCTCCTCTCTCTTTTGGCATTTTTAGGATGCGAAGGTTCGCCTATTGTAAGGTGGTTTTAGCCACCTCTCTGGTCTGGGTGATGCTGGACATGTTCATTCTGCTCTACTTCAGCGAGTGCAACAAGTGTGACGAGAAGAAGGAGCGAGGACTGCCTGGGAGGGATGGTACGTGCTTCTATCCACATTCACACATTTTTATACTTTGCATGACGTTTCTCAAAGACAGTGCTTCCGTATGTGTATCTACCATAGATACCCTGTCAAGACCACGAGACGGACCTGGTGAAGGCGGGAAGCCGGTGGTGATTCCTAAAGAGAACCAGGAGAAAATGAAGGAGATGTTTAAGATCAACCAGTTCAACCTCATGGCCTCAGAGATGATTGCTCTCAATCGATCACTTCCTGATGTTCGTCTAGAGGGGTGAGCAGCCTTCCAGAATCATTTCATAAAGCTCTATGTCACTATGTGTCAAATCCTTTTCCAAACCAGGTGACAAGCTTAAAAACTGCACTTTTTGTAAAATAAAAAAATAAAAAACCCGTAACAACAGATACGTGGATACTTACAGCAAATGTGGGTTGAGAAATCTCAACAACTGTTTTATTATATTTTATATTTGTACAAATTTGTCATAATAAAGCAGATTTTTGGTGCAGATGAAATGTGCACAATGGAAACATGAAGGCATTATTTTGCTTTTGTAATATTTCAATAATCGTAAACAAACATCTTTCTCTGAAGAACATATCTACCTTTCTTTGTCTCTGCCCCCCCCCCCACCCACCCTCTCCACCACACACACACACACACACACTACTGTCCGCATGATCAAACTCTGAAACAAAGTAAATATAGAAAATAATCTGAGAACATTTTTTACCATAATTATAAAGCCCTAATTAAAACCTGGATTGTTTGTGGCTGTAAGAGATTTGCGGTTCAAATTAAACAATTTGTCTGGCGACACCTGAAGGGGAAGGTCTGATTTTTTTTTTTTTTTTTTTTCCCTGGAGACCCTGATACAGTTTAAAAGTAAATACACTGCATGAATATGTGACAGGAGATGTAGTTGAGTCATGTTTTAAGTCTATCTTATGATTATGAACTCTATAAAAACCCATCTTCATGCATCACGACATGAGAATAAAGTTTGTTTGTTTTTTCGTTATTTATCAACATCAAAACGCAGCAAACGTGGTGTTTTTCATGTGTCCCTTCCTTAGTTTGCTTTAAAAAAAATCTGTGTGAATATAAGCTCGATCCAAGAAGATTAAAAGAGACTCTGCTTTAGATTTCACTTTCTGAGCATACAAAGTGAACAACAGCTGTGAAAACAACCACAGGGAACTAATGTGTTGAAAGTATCTTTTTATGTTCAGTTTTGTGTGTAAAACGAACAGACTTAATAATTTAAAATGGCACCAGGGACAGCCAGCCAGTAATTTTGTGTCAGCTTCCTGTCGCACCAGCAGTTGTTTCTAAAAGGTCCATTTCATAAAATGACACAATTTTCAACAGGCCCACCTTCTAATATCCTACTTAAACAGACGTCCCTACTCCCTGTGAGTCATCACCCATGGTACGCCTCAAATATTCTTCCCTCACTGTCTTGTTTTAAAAGGAAATGTGTCACTTAAAGAAAGCAATGAAATCATTTTGGGACCTTGAAGATTTCAGAACATTTTGCTCTGATACGAGGAGTATACGCTTTTATAGTTCCATCCATCCATTTTCTTTACCCGCTTATTCCATTTTGGGTCACGGGGGTCGCCGGTGCCCATGTCCAGCAATCACTGTGCGAGGGGCGGGGTACACCCTGGACGGGTCGCAAGTCCATCACATGGCCTTTTATAGTTTAAAAATGTAAAAGAAATAAAAGCAAAACATGTTTTTGCTCCAGTATAGTGTATTTAAAAATGTGAAGACTTAATGTGTCTCAAAAAAACATTTTGTACACCTTTCACTAAATAATACTGAACTCAGCTATAATACTTTTATTGTCACTTTGTCGATCTAAGACTGTCTGACTTGAATAATTCATCCATTCAACCTTTATTTAGACAGGTTAATCCCATTGAGCCTCTGGGACTCATTTACAAGAGAGACCTGCATTTTAACAAAAAATGATGATGACAATGGACAACAACAATAGACAATCATAAAGGATGCATATAAATTTTAAAAAATTGTTTTTTTTTTTTGTTTTTAACAAGTGAAAATAAAACAGTAATTAAAAAGGATAATTAAAAGGAAAAGTAGTGAAAGGTGACTTGAATAATAAAGGCTAAGTAGGTAAATCGGAATTAAATTGACTTGTGAAACAAATATGAAGGTTTTAAAACAAAAAGCTAACGCTGGAATAAAAATGCAGTTTTGAACAATGTTTCTAATTTTGCATAGAATTACATTGACCCTGAGTCTTCCACAAGTCCATTACTTCTGTGCATTCAGGATTTTTTTCCTTAACGTCACCAAAACAACTTGGCCTAAAGCCAATTTCTAAAGGAAATCAACTTTTAAAACACGACTGAGGAAATGCAAGTTCATTTTCAATGAACTCCCATTTTCATCTGTTCTATACAGTTCAAAGGTCCAGAAACAGAAAACTAATGTTGAGTGTGCATGAGTACCTGTGTCCGTGTGTCTGTCTCAGACAGGATGATCGGGCACTCAGGGCAACAGACCATTATGCATCTGGCCAGTTGCATTAATAATATGTCAAGGGTAGTTTAGGCAGTCAGAAATCAGCTCAGCTTTCAATTCCCCTCTGACCTTTTTTGATCTTGCTGAGAAGCATACAGCGGTCAGTAATGAGTCTTTTCAGCATGACACAGTGAGAGAGACAGCCTGAGAGACATAAGACTGTCAGGCAGAGACATGTTAATACCAGACAGGCAGGAAAGAATGAAGACATTGATCCATGAAATGGGTTTTAGTCTCTGAGCGAGAGTTGATTACTAGGTGTGCTTTCACTCAGCCTTCCCTCCGTCTATCTACTTTTCCAATTAGGAGATAAGACGGCGTCAATATCAAGCAAAGGGAATGTGGACCTGTGTGTAAGCATGCATACATTTGGATGTAATTTATATGCGAGTCATGTGTTTTCATGTTTATTGATCAGCAAGTTTAGAGGAACTCTGTAAATATATTGCAATGAAGAGGGTTCCCATTTGAGCAGCTTAATGTAAAAGGAACATTTTATGAAGCTCAGTCAAACATGCATGTGTATATGTGTGTGTGTGTGTGTGTGCGTGTGCGTGCGTGCGTCCGTGTGTGTGTGTGTTTGAGTGCAGCTGGGTGGTTCTCCAGTGTATGAAAACACTTTCCATGACTACGCCTTTCAGAAAACTTGACATTTTCTCTCATTATTTATTTTTTTAGTTGCTGACTGCAGTGTTTTTGAGACACGTTTATGGATTTATGTGTGTGTGTGTGTGTGTGTGTGTGTGTGCAGTGTTGCGAGAGTGATGTTGTTTAATTAGAACCAGTTTGCACACCCATCTTAAATATTCCCACAATCCAGTGGCTTGAGACCCAGCATGTAACTCATTATTCTGCTTTTACAGCCGTTAAGCATTTCTCCTCCTCCCTGGCTGTTTTACCAAAATCTGCATTACACAACTTAAAGAAAGTGTGCGTGCCTCAGTTTGTCAGGCAAAACTCAACAAAAGTTGTCCTAAAACTGGATAGTCTGCTTCGAATAAAGAGCGAAAGACTTGATGACTCTGTTTTTACAGTCAATCATCCTCTGTCATCATCAGCCTCCCTCCTTGTGAAGAGTATGAGCACAGCCACAGCAGAGACTGAGCATTTCTGTCTTCTTTAACGTCCTCCAGAGGCAGCTGCAGAATAAGTATACTCTTGACCCCCTCTCTGTTACATTCCTTCTGTCATAATCAGCAGCAGAGGAGGGGAAGCACTTCAGCGCTCAGGATGATCACGAGGAGGAGGGGGGAGTAATGAAGATGGAGGAAATAAGATCATATTCCATTTGGCTGTTGGGAGAGTTGAATTTTTCAGAGAAAGGAAGTCACAAGGGTGGTATCAGTTCTGTCTTCTGCTGATGGATGAGCTGCTTACTGTGGGTTTAAAAAAAAAACTGACTGATAGACCATTTAATATCAGAGAATAGATCAAAATCCCACAGCTGCACTTCGTTTTTTCTCTCTCTCTCTCTCTCTCTTTTGTCCTAAAACCTGGTGGTTCTTCAATCTGCTTGTATTTTCATTACCAGCTATTAACATCCGTTTAAAGTTTATAACCCTTTTTGGGCACATTTCATAAACCATTAATAGTCTCATTCTTTTGTTAATGCAGTGGCATTCAGACACTTTTAAGGTAAATTGATTTTTATTTAATTGCACAAACCTTGCGGATAGTAAAATAAATAAATAAGAGTCAAATGAAAACCCTCATTAGTTTATATGCCTGAATTCAGTTCAGACGTCCAATGTGTTCAAACTGGTTCATGCGTTTCACCAAGCCCAGCTTAGTGTGTTTATGTAAAAACTCTTATCTGCTTTGCAAATATTTCTATATAAAATATGCATAATATTCCACAGTAGGTCTAAAAGTGGACACTAACACTAAAAGCTGAACTCAGAGTTAATGTCCTGCGGCACATTTCATTTCTTACAATAATATTGCAGCGTTCAGTACATTATGAATACTGTATGTTGATTCAATTTTCTGCCAGACTCCACAAATGGAAAGAATGACTTTTTAATATTCCTGTTTTGCATTTTTGAGGCTGAAGTACCGGTAATGCAGTTTTACATATAATAAAATCTATGATGAACTAAATGCTCAGCATAGATTTTATATGCTGTACGTTTTCTCTTAAGGTGTTTATAAGCAAAGTCTGATTATCTAGAAATTCACGACTTTTTACGGATGAAATATGTTAGGGGGACACTTTTGATTACAAAGAAACATGAACAAAAGATTGAAGGATGCTTTGTTCAGCTTCTTAAGGTCAGGTTTAAATCGAGCTTTGAATTTTCATGTCAAACCTTCATTTGTTGTTGTCTGGAAATTATACAGTCTGCTCAATCAAGTGCTTTTAGACAAATGTTCAAGGTTCTTTATTGTCATTCGCATTCACACCACATGTGGTACATGAGGTGAAACGAAATTGTGTCTTCAGTTATACTCAAAAGAAGCCAAAAAAAAAGAATACAAAGTATAAAAAGAAACTGTATACAAGTATCTAAGATATACGCTAAACACTAATAATGTAAAATAATATGGTATATTAAGCAGCTCAATTGCCATTAAATAATAATAATGTTTCATATGAAATGGTTTGTACTATACTTTTACTTATTTGCCAATATCTGACCCAATATTAATATGTCCGAATTGTAAAACTTTGTTTAGCTGTCATGTAATTAATTGCAATTAAGTATTCTTGTAAGGACTACAGCAATCCTTTGGAAATTATTACAAAAACATTAACTGAAATATCTTTTGTTTAGACCTTCAAACAAAGGGTTATTCTTAGTGTGTATATATATATAGATATATATATATACACACACAACAGCAAAGCATATTAATGCATCAAGATGACTATTTTTGAAAAAGGGTGTCAGGTCTAGCTCTGAATTATGAAATATTGAAGAAAAAAACATTTTGTGTTTTATACTCATTTATTGTGAAACAATTGAATGAAGACATTGTGGCTGATGTTATAGTCAGGATCAAATAACTGCAATTAATGAAAGTTTTGTTGGCTCTGTTGATTGGGGGGCTTATGAAATATTATTTTGCTGCCCGTGCAACACGTTCTTAACTCTTTTTGTGTCTGGATTCTTGTATTCAAGCAGAAACAGAGCAGGATATCAGGCTTCCCTTCAGGAAGCACATGAACATGTAAATTCAAGAATCACTCAGTTTTTGTGGTTTCATGGGAATTTTGCTGGCCTTAAAATATGTCAGTCAACCAATGTTCCCTTTTTTCCTCTAAATATTATTAAAAAATATATTTAATAACTTTGTGATCTAATTTTTATCTTTGAAAGTCTTGATGTTTTGCATATATGTCTCTCTCTCTCCCTCTTTCTGAGGAAGACAAGTGTGCTGTCCTGTGCCATGTTAATGACTTGCAATCTAATTAGTGTCATTAATCAACTGTCATTGTGCAGTTGTACTATCTCTGGGTTGTATCACTATCTAAAATAAGAACTATCACTTTAGTTGGCCCTTCATTACTCATTCTTAGTTTCTTTGTTTTGTAGAAATGTACATTTCTTTACAAGGCCATGATCTGATAATGGTCTGATTGATTTCAATGACTGCCTGTAGTCTTAATGTCTCTTCGTTGGTTTGCAAGTCTAACCAGTCCCTTTTGTGTGTTGGTTTTATTGTGTGGACCCACTTCCACTGCAGCTCTCTATATACAACTTTCTCACAGTCCGACAGAGCCTGGATTGTCCTGCTGGCTTGTTTTTCTGTTTTCTTTGCTTTGCAACCATCTGCAAATTAAATGCCTCAAGTTTCTGAGTATTAATTCATGTCAAAATCTGTTCTGGTTGTTTTATTTACTCTTTGTAGGTGCAAGAACAAATTATACCCAGATAATCTTCCTCGCACCAGCGTGGTGATTGTATTTCACAATGAGGCTTGGAGCACACTGCTACGAACCGTTCACTCCGTTATTGACCGCTCTCCACACACGCTGTTGGAGGAGATTGTCCTGGTGGACGATGCCAGCGAGAGAGGTAAACTCATACAGACTGCAGATAATTCCTCCAGTGCCTCCTCATTTTGAGGCTTAGCCTATTTTTGAGAGATACTGTATGATTTTAGTGTGTCATGTTTGTGCCTGCCCAACAGTCACTCAGCATGTACATGTATAAGGGCTGCATGTGCCACTCCACCCTGTGTTACGCGGTTAATCCCTGTTTGGGAGAGATTAGGTCTTTAATTTGCCAGCCGCAGGGATTACACTGTGTTATAACCCTCAATTCCAGTTGCCAACACACATCACTTTATGGGCCCCCAGGCTGAATGTTGGGGGGGGGGTGTTTGTGCAGAGAGAGAAACTTTGTGCAGGTTGAAAGGGATGTCAACAGGCATGCCAAGACACACACACACATACACACAAGAAAAATAACAACATTTAGTTAACTTTGATGTCTGTTGCCACTGAGGGAAAATGTTATAATCCAACTTTTTTCTGTGTCTTTCATGTTTGTGTGTCTTTATTTTATGTTTATTTGTCTTAGACTTTCTTAAACGACCATTGGAGCAGTACGTCAGGAAATTAGAAGTGCCTGTCAGAGTGGTGAGGATGGACCAGCGGTCCGGACTCATCCGCGCTCGCCTTAAGGGAGCATCCATCTCCACAGGCCAGGTGTGTGTGCGCACGTTTACAGTAATGTGCAAATCGGTTGGTCTTCTTTCATTTCTTTACTTTTAGTCTCTAAGGTGCAGGATTGTACAACAGACAACTTCCTTAAACACTTTACCAGCAGCCTGTCACACAGGCACATTTTGTTTCCATCTATTTTTTTTTTTGAATCTTATGTAAAAGTTATGATTGACAGAATCTGAACAATATTTTAGCACCAACAAGGTGATTCTCACAAGTGCAGCTGAAAATGGACATGCAGGCGGGATGGTGCATCGCTCAGGTGGAGCAGAAGTCTGGCTGGATGTTTTTCTTGTTTATGAAATAAATGACTTTGTTACTGTTCATCTGCTGAAAATAGATTTTTAGAACAAACATTTCTTCTTTTGCCCTCCATTTGTCCACTTCGTTCTTAAGCATACAGTGCGCAATGCAACCTTGAATAAGTGATACATTCCTGATGACGACCACTTTACAAGTATATATAAAAGTCAGACTCTTTGGAAGCAAAAATTAAATATAAATGAGAAGTTTAAAATTTTTGCACAGTATAAAACACATGTAACATCCATTAGCCTTTGACCTGCACTTCTTCTGGTGTTGAGAACTGCTGTGTTAGTGTCCTGTTTTGTCTTTTGTTTTATTAGGTCATTACCTTTCTGGATGCACATTGTGAGTGCACCACAGGGTGGCTGGAGCCTCTGCTCGCTCGCATCAAACAAGACAAGTAAGGAACAAGTACACAACAGATGCACACACATTGGCTAGTTTTAGAAGAACAAAACAGCGGGTCATTGTTGAGCCTGAAGGATTGTTCTTGTGTTTACCTGCTGTTTAATTATAGTAATCATTTTCTGTTGTTTGCTTCCTAAAGACACATGAGCCTGGTTATTGTGTCTTGTGTGTGTAGCGCGTTTGCACTTTGACTTGCATTGATGTGTTTGTGTTTCTGATCATTCTAGGAGAACTGTGGTGTGCCCCATCATAGACGTTATCAGTGATGATACATTTGAGTACATGGCAGGATCTGATATGACATACGGAGGCTTCAACTGGAAGCTGAACTTCCGCTGGTACCCTGTACCCCAGAGAGAGATGGACCGCCGCAAAGGAGACCGCACACTGCCTGTCAGGTCAGCATTACACAACATGGATACTCAACGCAATCAGTTCCACTTTAACTTGAAATTTTCACCAAGTTCCCTGTTTGTTCCAGGGCACCAATCTCTCTCTTGTGCTACAAGGGAACAAAACAGAAAAGTTAATGATCTAACCAGGCACTTGTGATCATACACCAACTTTGTCAGCCAGCTGTTCAGAATAACTTTTCCTGTAAGCTTTAGTGTTGTTAGTTTGTATATAAGTTGTGCATACATTACAATTACACATTGCACAGTTGTAAAATGTTGTCAGGGTAGCGGTACAGACAAAATGCAGTAACCATTCTTCTGATGTCAGAGTTGTTGTATAATGATTTTATTTTGTTTGTTGTTTTGCCTCTCATGGCTCAGACCTTGGAGCAAAATTCAAGAGCTTATTTATTGCCCATTATGTTCCTCTTCTCATGTTTCTAAGTGTGCTCGACTCCACCATTCAAGGTCACACAGATAATGTTGTGTGTAACAGTCAGTGCTGCTGTTTGTTGGTTGTTTTTCATGGAGTTGCTTGACAGAATTTTCCTTCGGGTGTCTTGTAAGTGGCCTAAAAAAAAAAAAAACTGGGTCGTGGTGTCAGGGCAGAGCTTTTTTTTTTTTACCTTCTTTTTTTCACTAATGATAAAACCCCATTCTGTCACTTAACAGCTACACTTTATTGAGAATATGCAAATGTGTTTATAATATCAGAAATAAAATAAAAAATGTCATAATCGACAGAAAAGAAATGGCCAGGAAAAAGTAGCACTTTATGAAATTGTGAACTTTCCAAATCTATAAAACACTATTTCTATCAGATTCCTCTACCATTTGTAAATTAATAAAAATTTAAGCAATTAATGTTTTGAGTTTGGAATAATAATAATATAAAAATTTATTGTCATTCAAAGTTGTTCAGTACACCATGCAAAACTGAACAAAAATTTGCTTCATTTCTCCACAGCAGTGTAGGAGTACATAATTTACATGAATTTTATAGACTTTGGTGTTTAGGAATGTCTATGTGTGTGTTTGCTGTTGTGGTCACTTCATTAGTGACCTGAGTTCAGCAGTCTTAACAGCTTGTGGGATGAAACTGTTGCAGAACCTGGTGGTTCTGGTCCTCGGGCTGTCCTGCCAGAGGTCAACAGAGTAAACAGTCCATATTGAGGGTGTGAGCTGTCTCTTGATTTTATTTGTTCTGTTCAGAGAGCGTCTGAGACCAGTGTCCTGGATGGATACCTGAGGAAGCAGTCATAACAACTATTTCTAAACACCACCCTCACATTTTTTAATGTAAAAATAAAACCAAGATATTTTACAAATTATCTTCTGTTGCTGAATATTTTGTCAATATTATATTATTTCATCAAAAACAGTAACTAAAAATAAAGTTGTTTTTTTTTTTTTTTTTTTTATCAAAAACACAAGTGTGCATTGAAATGCATGATGTCATTGCCTGATGCTGCTTATGATGCATGCCTCGGCTGAAGCATTCGAATTTTTGAACAGCTGAAATTTAGGCCTAAAAGCATTTGAAACCAATATGTCTACACAGAAATTGCACAAGAAACAAGAGCCATTGCATCATCTCCTGTTGGAAATAAACAGACATTTAAATGGCTGTTTTTTCATCCATTCAACCTTTATTTAAACAAATAAGTCACATTGAGCCTCAAAGACTCATTTACAAGTGAGACCTGTTTGGACAGACAATAAAAAGTGGTGAAAAATGACACATAGGGTTTGGAGACAAAAAAAATCCTAACACGCTTTTAACCTCTGTTTGAAGGTCAACAGTGGGATAATGAAAAAAAATCTTGCACACTAGCACATGATGCCGACATCACGTGGGGGGAGGGGGGCAAGGGCGGTGAGCAGCCAGAGACAACACACAGAGGCACGGCAGAGTTCAGATAAAATCACTCAGTTCAAATAGTTCCCTCTGGAGAGATCCGTGCACACTCGGGGGGACACGACCAAAGACGAATCCAGAGTCCTGAAATGATGACCGAATGTTTATTCAGGTGGGCTCCTCTGAAAAGTCCATGGAATTCCTCAGTAGGAGGGGAGGGAGAGGTAGAGCTTCAGGTTTACAAAACTTTCCAGGCGGGTTGAGATAAGATGGCCTGTCAAGGCCAGTCAGGGAGCTGAATTCAGATAAACACAATTGTTTTTGGGACAGGCAGAACTTTAATGACATCTACCTTGAGTCTGTGTCGGTCCACTCGGTTCTGAAACATCCAAATTAATTGACCATACCAATGAAACATGCCTGAGAATAATCCTCGAGATCTGATCCATTCTGCCAAAAGTCTGGGTGCTCGAGGCACGAACCAAGCTCTCATATAAATCAGGCAGCCTGACCAGGTCCAGATTTGCTGCCGACGACTTCCTTGTTTGTTGATAGACCAGGAACCAGCCAAATCCAAAAAGCTGGAACCAGTTATCATAAATCTAATTATAAATGCGTCCTTAAAATCCACAAATGGCAGCAGAGACAGAGACATCATCAAGTCTTCCAAGTTGATGAGATATTATCCAGCTGTGTGCGTGCCACCAGGGCAAATCGGCTCGCCTAAAGCCTGTCTTCTCTTTGAAGAAATGTTATCAATTGTGTGGAGGGACCAAATGATCAAATCCAAGTCCATAGTTATGATTCGGAAGATTTGTAGAAGAGAGGCGCTAAAGCAGTTTCACAGACAGGCCAGAGCAAAAACAAAGCAGAGAGGGAGAGGAGGAGACGTCCGCCCTTGAGAAGAGCAAGTGTTGAAGTGTAATAGGATGACGTAATCTGAGTCTTTCAAAAATGATGGAAAACAAAATACTAATATGGTTAATATTTTAAAATGTAGAATTGTTTTATCTGTCTTAAACAATTAGAAATCTAAATGGCTCTAATAGGATGAAGTAATCAGGGTAGTTAAAAATGATGGAAGACTAAATATTAATGTGATCAATAAGGTTAATATTTTTAATTTATGGAATTGTTTGCTGGCTTAAATCCCAGCCGTGGGCCTTTCTGGTTGGAGTGTGCATGTTTTCTCCGTGTATGCATGGGTTTACTCCAGGTACTCCGGTTTCCTCCCACAGACCATAAACATGCATGTTAGACTGATTGGTAACTCTAAATGGTCCTTAGGTGTGAGTGAGAGAGTGAATGGTTGTTTGTTTCGTTTGTCTCTACGTGTCCCTGCTGGACATGGGCACCAATGACCCCCATGACCCAAAAAGGAAGAAGGAGGTAAAGATGATGGATGTTTTGAAGCACATGATTTCTCCAACTTGTTCAATGTCTGATTGAGGTGGGATTTGAACCCAGGTTGTCTATTTGGCAGACAAAGGCTCACTCCTCTCATCTATTCCTTCATTAAGGAAGCTTGCAGTCATGTTATTTTGTTTGTTTGTTTGTTTGTATATGAGGCTTGCACACCTGTGTCAGTAACCCGGGTGATTATTTCACTTGCTGTGAGAACCATGACTGTGGACGCCGAAACTTAAAAGCTCTGCTCAATTTATACTAACACTGATTGAACCATGTGTGAAAAATAAACATTAAAATAATTATGTACCGGTAAGTAAATTATCAAATAACTATTGCTATTTTTTTAAGATGGTAAAATCATTATCTCAAGTATATTATCTAAAAGTCAAATTAATAAACCTTAAACTTTTATCTATTACTTTCAGTTTTAAAATGGCATTGTTGAAGTCAAATTAAAGAATTATTTGAGGGATAGAAAGCAGTTTGTTCAGATGGATGATGTAAGATCTAATTTATGCAGAACTTTATGTGGAGTACCACAAGGTTCAGTACTTGGACCTAAATTGTTTATTTTATATGTAAATGATTTAATTGAAGTATCTGACATCCTCAAATGTGTTTTATTTGCTGACGATACAACGTTTTTCTGTTAGGGTAAAAATATGGAACAGATGTTTGAATTGATAAACAAAGAGATTGTTAAAATACAAGATTGGTTTAAATTAAATAAGTTATCATTAAATGTTGATAAAACTAATTTTATGATATTTAGTAAAAAAAGATAACTTTGGATTTTTCTCTCAAAATTGATGGTACTGAGATATGTAGAGTGAATGAAGTAAAGTTTCTGGGTGTAATTATTGACGATAAACTGTCATGGAAACAGCATATAAATATTGTAAAAATTAAAATATCTAAGTCAAATGCAGTATTATACAGAGTGTAGTGAAATATGTTCATTCTACAAGAGTAAGGGACTTATTAAACAATGATGCTTTATATTTGCTATATAATACACTTGTAGTCCCGCATTTAATTTACTGTGTCACTGTTTGGGGTACAGCATGTAAAACCATAACAAAGCCTATTTTTATTCTGCAAAAAAGAGCTGTAAAAATTATAACAAAAAAGTGTTATTGTCACCCTTCTAATGTTCGGTTTTGTCAATTGAAAATACTTAAGTTTTATGATTGGGTGGATTATAATATTCTTTTATTCATGTTTAAAGCTCAGAATTGCATGCTACCATCAAACATTCAAACATATTTTGTAAAAAGGAAGAGTTGTTATAATTTGAAGGGCATAGATATTTTTGTTAAACCCAAGTATAGAACCAGTTTAAAGGGTCGGTCTACTACTATACAGGGAATGAGTCTGTGGAATGGTTTGGAAGATGATGCTAAAATGGTGAAGTCAATGTTTATATTTAAGAAAAAGATAAAAACTGTTTTGTTGGAACAATATATATAACTGATTAATATCTATTTTGTTAAGTATGAAATTTTGATGAGTTATGTATTTTGATGTATTATATATGAAGGTTTATGTTTAAATTGATGGTTTGAATTGATTTTGTTTATGAGGGAGCAGATGTGATAAGAAATTTTCTTCTTCTGCTTCCTTTCATTTTATATTTGTTTTTCTTTAATTTTTTTGAAATTGTATTTGTGTTTTTATTGGAAATTAAATGAAATGAATAAAAAAAATAAAAATAAAGAATATTATTAATAATGTCAAAATATGAACTACCGGTATATTGAACTTTAAACTTTTTTATTGCCTTTAGTTTAAAAATGGCAAAGTCATATTAAGAACGTATTAGTATTATGATAAAAACAATCTTGAACGATGACACTTTTAGTACTCTCTACAGCTATTTGCACAAATATAATATTTCAGCCAGTATATTACTGTACTTTTGGCAGATATTCAGTCTTTTCCACCATATTTCTGTTTAATACACTGAGTGACACTTAGCTGTAAAACCTTCAACACTTCTTCTGCCAAAAAACAATTAAAGCGTGTCAATTTAGTATATGTTTGTAAGATGAACTACTTCTTTTATTAGCCAAGGAGTGGAAACTGTGAGCTTTATGTTTGCTGTCACCGTGTGACAAACCTCATTCAACAAGTTTCCAACAGCTAAAGATCATTATGAGCTCGTCTACTGTACTCTGTAATTTACAGTCATGTGAAAAGGTCTGGACTCATTTTCAGTATTAAAGAAGAATAACTTGATCAATCCTGTGAACACAGAACACAGCAGGTCAAGTTAATCCTTTAAACACAAAATGAAATGCAACCAAATATCCATCCATATGCTTTTTTTTTATTTTATTTTTTTATCCTTTTTCTGTTTTTGTTTTTTTCCTTTTGCGTGTCGCAGGAAACTGGAGCCCATCTCCACAAGTGTGAGGGGAAGGGTTCACTCTGTATCTTAAATACAACCAAATATGATCATAGCAATTTACATTTTTACTTTGTTCTCTAAACTCTATCCTGTTTCACAGTTTTTCTTGTCTTTAATGTTGCCAGCCTTCGTGTACTTCAGTGCTGTGATCAACACGGGGCTGTAAACACGTCTTTTATGATAGTGACAGACTCTGTTTGGATAACTGGCTTTAATCAGGATCAAAGCTTCTTTCTAATTTAGTAGATTTTGTTTGTTTTACTGCTGCATATTCAAATCTCATAAAAACAACTTAAATTGTCAGCTGAGAAGTTCAGAGATTAATATATTGACAGCCAACACATGTTTTTAACATCTTTAATTAGCTCTTTACAGTCTTAAATAACATTTTGTTTATTTAGTGAGCTGTTTTTTTTTTATTTGTGTGTGTTTACTATTTTCCAGCCAAATGCTGCAGTATTGTGTACTCAGTATATGTTTAATTGTTTGTATGGAAGGTATTGTGTTTTTGCAAATTGTCTTGGATATTGAATAAAAGCAAAAAAAAAAAAAAACTAAGTCAGCAGGGAGAAAAATAAGCCTTGTTGTGTAAAGGAGGAAACCACTGTGTGGGGGAAGGAGGGTGAAAAAGAGAAGAGAATGGAGGCCATTAAACAGTGACGTGACTGTCACAACAACAAGAAAAAGTGAGCACAAGTGGAAAAAACAGGAAGACGGTAACAAACGGGCTGAAATATAAAACTGATGGGATCTGTTGATACTGAGTGACCTTTGGAAAACAGACTGCTGGTGACACTAACCAGCCTCGCTCTGGATTTATCTGTCTCTGCAGGACTCCTACCATGGCAGGCGGCCTGTTCTCCATAGACCGAGATTATTTTCAGGAGATTGGCACGTATGACGCAGGCATGGACATCTGGGGTGGAGAAAACCTGGAAATCTCTTTCAGGGTGAGTGAACGCAGCCAGTTGGCAAGGCTGGATTCTTTCATGCGCTGACAGGCTTTCAGGAGTGTCTGCTGGGCTCTCAAACACTCACGTTCACGGATGTTACCCCTCGACTGCTCTGACTAAACACTTTGGTGGAGCGTCATCCTGACTGGCTCTCAATCAAACTTTCTCAGGCTGTCACGCCACAGAGACGATCCGTCTGCGTCAGCCACCTTCTCGCCGAGTTCAGCGTTTTCCCGTTCTGTGGCGAGCCGTTAAGTTTGTTTTGCAAGTTGTGTGTTGAAAACAGTTTGTTCTTCACAGATCTGGCAGTGTGGAGGGACTCTGGAGATCGTTACGTGCTCTCACGTGGGTCACGTGTTCAGAAAGGCCACGCCCTACACATTTCCCGGAGGAACAGGACAGATCATCAACAAAAATAATCGACGGCTGGCAGAAGTCTGGATGGATGAGTTTAAGAACTTTTTCTACATTATCTCACCTGGTGAGTTGGGCTGAGCGTGGTGTGTGTGTCTCAAAGACAGGATCTGTGTGTGCTCATTAATCTGTGCATGCATCTACTCATGTGTTGAGCTTAGTGTCTGCAGCAGGTGTGATCAATCCATTAACCTTGTGACAGTGTAATATTGCAGTGGTAGTCAAATATTGCAGGATGGGGGGTGGGGGGTGGTGAGGGGAGTAATTTCACGCTACAAAAGATCTATTAACCTGCACAACCACACGCACACACACAAATCTGCTGGGGAGAGACAGCCTAAAGAAAAGTCCACTGTGGGTTCTGTTCTGTCAATTATAAACCATTTCTGATATTGTACAGGTTTTATAAGATAATGACACTTTCATAACCAGTTTACAGTAAATACAGTTTAGTTTTTGTGACTTGTGTAATAAGTAGGACTGTTAAACTTTAAGGTTTGGATTAATTGTTTGATTCTGAGTAGTTAGTTGTAACTAATCATGTGCATATTTAAGTTTTCAATCTAAAACGTTATCATAGTTAAAGTATTTTATTGTAAATTGATACAAATTGATTACTAGTTGCATTATTTTCTTTATTTGTAGCTTGTGTTGCTAACTGCATCAAATAAAGTTTGTATAAAAACAAACATCTGCGGGCCACCTCAAATGGAGAGATAATTAGTTATCTTAATATTTTCATTCATGGTTTTAAAACTAAATTACATTACAACGTTAAATCACAGGAGTTGGTTAAATAAAAATCAAAGCAAGTTAGCGGCTAATCTACTTTTTGTGAAATGACTGCTTCAAGGTAGCACCATGTTTGGAGACACGTTTGTATTTAACACTGTCAGTTTTCTGCAACATTACTGACAATTTGCTGTAAGTTAACATTTTTTATCACAACGCTGATTGTATCATTAGGAATACAAGCACATGTTAGATGTACGTTTGACTGACCTGCGACACGCTGGCTGCATGTATGTTCATGAAAACTAAAACCACAAACAGTAACAAACTTTTCCTTGTGCCTGATAAACAGCACAGTAGACACATTTCCAGCATCAGCTGGCCTGAAATGATGGCACAGTTTGTGATAATTTGAAGTAATCATTCAGTTTTGGTCATTAATTAGAAGTGCATCATACGGCCACTTTAAAAAAAATGTACAAAATATCTTTAATCACATCATTTGGTTTGGTCATTTTATAAACAAACGGGAATGCCCAAACTTTGCCCACTTGCTTTTTCGCCACAGTTATAACATTCAGTGCCCAAATGTTTTTCTGCTGTTTCTACTGCATCTTTTCTCATACACTCATTAGTGTAAACACAGTCTGACTCTGGCAAGTCAAAAGTCAGATTATTTAAATAAACCAGATGCTTAGCAAGTACCAGCCTGTTGAAGTGAAACTTAACTGTTTGCCTCCAGTGCTTGTGCGTTAAACATAAACACAGTGTTTGTCAGACTAATACAAGTTGTCACATGTCATGATGTAGAAAGAAAAAAACATGACCTCATGCTTTTCTCCTCACTTGACTTGCCGTCTGTGACTCCATCAATGTTGTGTTTGAGGGACGTTTTGAAGAAACGGAAAGTAAAAACAATCAGCTGACTTTAAAAATGTTATTTTTGGTTATTACCAGTAATTAGGAAACTAACGCATTCTTTCAGCCGAAAGTTGAAAGGTCAACCTGTCTTGCTCAACCATCTTATTTTGTAAGTGGTGAAATAAGTTTCAACCTGTCTGTGGGGCTTCAGTGTGTCATGTTATTGTCCATGTGTGTTTTTGTTTTTGTCCAGGTGTGACCAAAGTGGACTATGGTGACATCTCATCTCGCACTGGTCTTAGACAAAAGCTGCAGTGTAAACCCTTCAGCTGGTACTTGGAGAACATCTATCCAGACTCCCAGATCCCCCGACATTATTACTCCCTGGGAGAGGTATGCCCTTCGCTCACAGCGACACACACAGACCACATCACAGTCCAGTGAGTTCCAGTGATCGTTGCTTACTTTATGTTTGGATTTGGCTCAGATCCGAAACGTGGAGACCAACCAGTGCCTGGACAACATGGCTCGAAAAGAAAACGAGAAGGTTGGCATTTTCAACTGCCACGGCATGGGAGGCAACCAGGTAACTGAGCAGAGCGGAAAGGCATCAGAACAAATGCGTGCAGACACACACACACACACACACTATTAAAATAAAAATATACCAACATTATAGTTTTTTGTAACAGATATGAAACACAGAAGGAAAAGATTTGTTTCAAACACATCAGACAACACATTTAAAAACAACTCAAGTTAATAAAATTACTTCACAATTTAACTGAGTAAACAAACCACAAATTAAACGAAAAATTCATCAGCACTAATTGAACACATTAAGCATCTTGATACGTGCTTACACAAATCCATGTGGAAAATTTGTCTTTAAGCAATCTAGACTGTAAGGTTTTATTTGGTTTTTTGTTTTTGTTACTTTGCTGATTTTTTTTCTGTAAAAACTAGGCTGTAAAGGTGAAACTTCCACATTAGTGTCACACTGCACACCATTTAAACTTCTATAAAATGGTGTATGTTAGTTACAATAAACAACAAAAATATTGTATTTATAATTTTGTTTGTGAATATTTCATTATTGATTTGCTGAAGATAAAAAAAAAGATAAAACAATATGGTAAACATAATGTACTTTTAAGTTTTCCTGCTAAAACCAACCTGGACCTCAGATAATATTACAAATGTACTGTAATACACAAGTGTCTAGTGGATTACCTCTCAATGACGTTTGGAATTAGCTTCTTGTTTGTGGATACCGTACTTTCCGCCGTACACGTCCCACCGTCGTATAAGTTGCATCAGTCCAAATAAGTGTAATAAAGTGGAAAAAACATAAATAAGTCGCTTCACCATATAAGTTGCATCTAATATGCGTCACCACTGACCACCCAGAAACGTGGGCCGTTGTGACAAAAATTGATTGGCTGCCAAATGGCGTGCACGGGAGGACTTTAACAAGACTAACAAGATTAACACCTAAAAACAATTTGTTGGCTCGACATTATAGCAAAGGTGTGTCTCAGTTGAACTTTTCCTTAATAAATGCACTTTGATGTTTAAATCAGCTGCAGTTCACCTGGGCGGTGCGGCGAAATGCAGCTGATTTGACGTTTGCTCCAGGAGTTCCGGAGCGAGTCAAAGGTGGCATAATATGGCAAGTCAAGTGTCTCATTAATAGCCACTTTTACCTATTAATGAGACACTTGGCTTGCCATAATGCTTGAGGGCCCTCTAGTGGCTGAAAATGGTAATGCTTAATATTTTTCTTGTCAGAATCAACTAAATTGTAAGATCTCAGCCCAAAATTGGGTTATAAATATTGGAAGAAAAACGTATATTAGTTGCGTCGGTGTATAAGTTGCAAGAAGGTGTGGCTTATATGGCGAAAAATATGGTATATAGAAAACATCTAAATACTATTAGCTCCTAAGGCCTCACTTGTTCAATTTTATAACGGAACAGGTGAGGCCAAACAAGCTTTAAAAAGTTTTGATCATTTGCCTCTATTAATGTAGTGATAATGGAATTTTCTACATTTGCCAAAGAATCGATGATGAAGGGGGAAAAGAGTCGTCCACACAGAAAGTCACAACAGGCTGTCCTTGATCAGGAAATAGTCAACAGTCGAAGCGTATCTAGAGAAACAAAGACAGCACAAGAACCAATCCCTGCATCTGTGTCGATCTGTGAAACTGTTACTTCTGAAAATCGAGTTTTAAATTAAAACGAAAACCAAGTTTTTCTAACAAACGGCAACAATAGCAGTCTCAAACTTAGAAAGAAGTAACAGTGAAGACGTTTTTGAGGTTTGTGCCCTGCAAACTCCTGCAGATCAAAAAAAAATCTCAAGATGAAAGGGTTTCTGAACAAACCAAAATTACTGCTAACTACTAATCCCAGAAGCAATCAACAGTCTAACCACATCCTCAGAAACTGAGTGATGTCATCCACAAGTCAATCCCAGCCTCTGTGTTGAGCTCTGAAACTGTTGTGTCTGCATTCTGTAAAGGTACATGTTTATAAATCCAAGAAAATGTTTATAAGAGCTCCAGTATCACATGTTGGCACAGCAGTCAAATGACGCTCTGCAACTGCTGTTTGCACTCACAATGGTTGCTTGTAAAATAAATGCAAATACATGTTTGATGGCCAACACCAACATAGTTTATAGTACCTCTTAAATGAGAGCTATAAATCAGTTTTATGTTATATAACAGTAAAACAGACGTGCACATCTGGTGAGACAGCATGGTGAATCCTCCTATGTTAATATAGATGGCATAAACAAAACTACACAAGATAAAGACACAAATATTGACAACCTTTTTCCACCCACAGTTTACACATCTTATTAAGCTGTAAGGTAATTACAGCATCTACTCTCAGGTTTATCCCTATTCATTTACCATCTGTCGAGTTTTACATCTAATGTGTGGTTGAAATTAATTGTTCTAGGAAAATAAAATGAGTTGTGAGAAATAACAAATATGGACTTTACTGGTAAACGTGACGTACATGTGTATCTAAATATATATTTTGTTTTAAATGGGATCTTTGTTAAATATATTGCTTTGAGTGTAGCTAACCAGTGCAACATTTATAGAAAATGCAAAGTAAAAAATGATACTGGAATATAAAAATATTATAATTGAAAATATATAATCGCAATCGCACTGCCATGAAATAAAACAACATATTGAACAAAATAGTGTTTAGAAATGTATTATCACTGAATCCAGAAATGTTCAGTCAGGTCATCTGGACGGTTTCTTTTTTTGTTTGCTGAGACATTTCGCCTTCCATCCAGAAGGCTTCATCAGTCTGAGGAAACGCCAAACAAAACTGATTCTCCACCAGCAGCTTACTCCAAAGTGGAACAAACCAGTTATGCTGGTGCTAAGATGGTGTTTTTGGCATGCCCCCTCCTCTGGTGCCGGCCCTCTTCCTCGTCGACAGTCATGTCAAACTGGTTCAAAACCAACAAAGTTCATGCTCAATAATCCAGGTATATAATCCAACAATTTTCAGTCAGGTCATCTGGACGGTTTCTTTTTTTTTTGTACTGAGACGTTTCGCCTTCCTCAGACTGATGAAGCCTTCTGGATGGAAGGCAAAACGTCTCAGCACAAAAAAAAAGAAACCGTCCAGATGACCTGGCTGAAAATTGTTGGATTTTATACCTGGATTATTGAGCATGAACTTTTGGCATTATCCCTGAATCATCTTGCCTCCGTGAATCCTGTTTTCTAAGGGAGAGACAAACATTTTAACATACAGGGTATTCTTTTTATTCTGTGTTTTATAGAGGAGCTTTTTATAGAAAAACATTTGTGCATCATCAGCGTAGATGATGTACTGCCCAAACAGAGACGGCCTGTCCCTGAGGCACGTTGGAATCATCAACTGGTGGTTCCTATCCAGCCCTCAAGGTCATTTTACTTAGTCCTAAAGTTAGTTATTAAATTGTTCATAAATCAAGTAGCAGTGGTTCAGCAAGACGTTGCCGAATCTGCCAAACCATTCTGGCTTTTAGCCAATCTTGACTTTCTAAATTTTTATCATCTGCAGCCAGTTTCTTCAGATCTGCTGTGAGACAGACTGCCACGGGAGATCCTTCCTGTCCACAGCCATCAGCATTAATGAAACCAGGATGGAGAGCTACAACATTTAATTTCCCTTTGGGTTTAATAAAGTATTTTGAATTGAATTGAAAGGGTGGGGCGTATTAATGTACAGTCCACGTCTATGTTTGTAAATTTGTCCCGCCCATACCTTCTGATTTGCTCAAAATAATTTAACAAAACTTCAAACACTTGTGCATGATCACTAGCCGGAGTGTCACGTACACTTTTCATAACCCCAGCTTTGAGGTCAAACGTTATACAAGCTCTTTGCGTGTCCCAGCCATTGCTACAGGTGGCTTCATTTCTGTCTAAACGTTTGTTGACGGGGGTGTCATGTGTCGTACTCGTGTTGACTTTTCTGTGAGCTGATTTCTCTTTTGAAGCAGAGTCCATTACAGATGTGTTAACTGTTGTTGAAAATGTTTTTCATGTGTTTGTGCCAAATGTAGCTCTTCTCAAGTGAAAGTAAAACAAACCATCTTTTTTAAACACTGCTTTTGTTTTTTCAGGCATCATTTAGCCTTTGTTGTATGTATTTTAAAATATTTTTTACATTTTAACAATGTACGTACAGGGATCCACAGTCAAAAGCACAAAATAATCTCGATTTTTTTTTTTTAAATGGAATATTTTCTTAACACGTTTGGAAAGATACACATCGTGAAGGCTATCTATTATTAGTAGCAGAAATATAAATAAATAAAACAGACTGGTCATAATAAGCAGAAAGATGTCTTATCACAGGCCAGCCCCCATGCGGCTGGATTAGAACAATCTTGTCCCTTGAGCAAAAAACGTTGATGACGTCTGTGTTAAAGATTAAAGCAGAACATTTCAAACAAGATACCAAACCATGTATTCTCTGAACATGTCATGTCATACAAACATAAAAAAATGGCATTTGAAAAAGCTGCTTTTTGTTCCTTTACGGCAGTTGTAACATGTGGCCACGTCCAGGACTGAGTATCTCAACAGGTCGCAGTGTTTCTCCTCCATTTTGTTAGAGAAGTCTCGGTCCTGATGGAGCCGGACAGTCTGACCTCAGTGCCAGACCCTTTTTATTTAGTTAGTTTTTTTCTTTTATTTGTTTTTTCAGTTGTCTTTTCAAGCTATTAAAATGTCAAATTATACAGGTGCTGGTCATAAAATTAGAATATCATGAAAAAGTTGATTTATTTCAGTAATTCCATTCAAAAAGTGAAACTTGGGTATTATATTCATTCATTACACACAGACTGATATATTTCAAATGATTATTTCATTTATTGTTGATGATTATAACTGACAACTAATGAAAACCCCAAATTCAGTGTCTCAGAATATTAGAATATTGTTAAAAGGTTCAGTATTGAAGACACCTGGTGCCACACTCTAATCAGCTAATTAACTCAAAACACTTGCAAAGGCCTTTAAATGGTCTCTCAGTCTAGTTTTGTAGGCTACACAATCATGGGGAAGACTGCTGACTTGACAGTTGTCCAAAAGACAACCATTGACACCTTGCACAAGGAGGATAAGACACAAAAGGTCATTGCTTAAGAGGCTGGCTGTTCACAGAGCTCTGTGTCCAAGCACATTAATGGAGAGGTGAAGGGAAGGAAACAATGTGATAGAAAAAAGTGTACAAGCAATAGGTTTAACCGCACCCTGGAGAGGATTCTGAAACAAAAGCCATTCCAAAATGTGGGGGAGATTCACAAAGAATGGACTGCAGCTGGAGTCAGTGCTTCAAGAACCACCATGCTCAGACCTATCCGAGACAAGGGGTTCAGCTGTCACATTCCTTGTGTCAAACCACTCTTGAACAAGAGACAACGTCAGAAGTGTCTCCCCTGGGACTGCTACTGAGTGGTCCATAGTTATGTTCTCTGATGAAAGTAAACTTTGCATTTCCTTTGGAAGTCAAGGTTCCAAAGTCTGGAGGAAAAGAGGGGAGGGACTGACTCCACGTTGTTTGAGGTCCACTGTCAAGTTTCCACAGTTGGTGATGGTTTGGGGTGCCATGTCATCTGCTGGTGTTGGTTCACTGTGTTTTCTCAGGTCCAAGGTCAATGCAGCCGTCTACCAGGAAGTTTTCGAGCACTTCATGCTTCCTGCTGCTGACCAGCTTTATGGAGATGCAGATTTAATTTTCCAACAGGACTTGGCACCTGCACACAGTGCCAAAGTTACCAGTACCTGGTTTAAGGACCATGGTATCCCTGTTCTTAATTGGCCAGCAAACTCACCTGACCTTAACCCCATAGAAAATCTATGGGGTTTTGTGAAGAGGAAGATGTGATTCACCAGACCCAACAATTAGAAGAGCTGAAGGCCACTATCAGAGCAACCTGGGCTCATAACACCTGAGCAGTGCCACCGACTGATCGACTCCATACCACACCGCACTGATGCAGTAATCCAGGCAAAAGGAGCCTCAACTAAGTATTGATGTTGTACATGCTCATACTTTTCATGTTCTTACTTTTCAGTTGGCCAACATTTCTAAAAAAAAAAAAAAATTTATTGGTCTTAAGTAATATTCTAATTTTCTGAGAGACTCAATTTGGGGTTTTCATTAGTTGTCAATTATAATCAGCAACATTAAAAGAAATAAACATTTGAAATATATCAATCTGTGTGTATTGAATGAATATAATATATAAGTTTCACTTTTTTAATGGAATTTATGAAATAAATCAACTTTTTCATGATATTCTAATTTTATGGCCAGCACATGTATACTGTAGATTACCTGCTGTTTATCTAAGCCTCTTATTAGCCCATTTTTGTGTTTGCAAAAGTCAATTTACTACGACATCCATTTTGAATCTGGTTGAGTAATCAGTTGTAGATATAAGTCACATAATTATGATACTTTCCAAGAGTTTCAATAAAAAGCATCCAGTCGTTCGTGAGATGTTTTGCTACACACACAAAGGCAGTTACATTATTGCCCATCTTTTATTGTGATGGGCGATTACTAACTTTATCAAACCAATGACATCCAACCATATATTAATTAAATAGTTCAACCGGGCTCTTTTAGGTTTATATGTGTAATTCTGTGGTTACAAGTACAAACAATCAGTTCTTTGTTTCATGTTACAAACCTCTAATTATTGAGAAAGATTTTATTAACAGTTATGAACCGTGAGACATCAAAGGCTCAAGTTAGAGAGCTGAGAAAGCTCATGGGGTCAAATAAATATCCCTGTGGTGCTTCTAGTTAAAAGTCTGACCCACTGAATCTATTTTGTGAATGTGTACATAAGACTCATGGGTTGTTCAAAAAGCTGCCATGTGTTTGTTCAGGTTTTCTCGTACACGGCCAACAAAGAGATTAGGACGGACGACTTGTGTCTGGATGTGTCCAAGCTAAACGGACCCGTCATGATGCTCAAGTGTCATCACCTCAAAGGCAACCAGCTGTGGGAATACGATCCTGTGGTGAGTGGAGACCAAACGTTAACCACTTTAGTAACACCATACTTACTGAAAGCCTGCACATGTTTCAAATTTTGATGGGTTTTTTTTTTCTGTGCTGCTTTAATTTATTTATTTTGTTGTCCCTGTGTGCAGAAGCTGACTCTGGTCCACGTGAACAGTAACCAGTGCCTGGACAAGGCCAGCGAGGAGGACAGCCAGGTGCCCAGCGTCAGAGACTGCACACACACACGCTCCCAACAGTGGCTGCTCCGCAACGTCACATTACCAGAAGTCTTCTGACCACACTCCACATGCTCACAGACCCACACTCTCACACACACAGCGGCCCGGGGCGAGCAGTCAGAAGATCGGACATGGTTATTCAGTTTGGGCACGAGGACAGAGACTTCCCATGTGTGGACTCGGGAACGGAGGCGGGTGATGGATGGGACGGTACTACCTCTGCCAGAGATCAGAGGGAGGAGTGTCTTTGAGCCTGTTCAGAGCAAACAGAGACCATATCTGTTGTTTTACATTTGTTTTGTTTGGTTAAAAAAAAAAAAAAGATTTTATCCGTGAGAAGTGACTCCTGCGTGAGACGACAGGACTGAGCCGGTGGAGTCGAGGTTCTGCACACAGCTTCCCTGGACAAAGCAGTCCACCCCTCAGCTCATCATGTAACGTTTACTGAATGCCTCTGATCTGTGCGAGTGTGTGTGTGAGTGCACTTATCTTTGGGTGTTGACTCTATGATGAATGTATGCTTTGAGAAGGGGCCTGAATTCCTTGTTCTTTGAGCTTTTTTATTTAATTTTGTAATGGATTTTTAAAAGTGAACTCATATGAAGACGTATGCATGTTTCTCCGTGTGTTTGCGTGTGCGCGTGCGCCTGCCAGAGCCCCTCCTAGTCTTGCAGTAGTGTGTGTCTCCCTCTGGTGTTTCTCCTTGGTATTACATCTTGCAGACTGAAGCCTCCATGCTAAGAAATAACAACCAAGGGATGGCACATTTACCAAAATAGAAAAGTCTAAACCTGACGCCTGCCATCAGCAGAGATGTAGAGGTAGAGAAATATGTTTGTGATATCTTCAAGTTTCTATGTCCAGTTTTTACACGACCTGTCTGTTTTTACTGTTTCCGTAACGCTAGTTTGTCTCTGTTGTCTTGAAACAAATTGAATCTAGAATGAACACACACAAGCTGTGGATATGTACCTGATGGTGTTCACTGCAGACTGTAGTGTTCAACCATCAGTAACTTTCCCATAATGCACCACACAGCCACACACGAGCTGTACACAGTTGGTAAAAAAGGCTAATTTGATTCTTATATTGACTTTCCCCCCAAAAAAAACACTCCAAGGGCTTTTTTCCTCCGGTGGAGTGTGTGGATGTACATATCTGTGCAGGTGTGAATGTGTTTTTATCTTCAGTACATATCCCAGTTCATCCCTCTTTATCAAATTTTAAATTATTTGCTTTAGGACAACCTGTAGGCAAATATATCTGCTTCCTGTAAAGAAGAAAACATTTTGTTTTTCCACTCGAGTCTTAATGCTTTCCTCTGGACATATCGACAGAAGAACTTCACAGGCAGAGTAAAAGAGTTCAAATGTTGGTTCGAAGGACTTATCTATATCTGCATATTTTATTTTTGCAAGTTTTAACTGCAGTGTTTCCAACATTCATATCTTAACTGTAAGAAGACAACAGAGCGTTATCATGTCAACCGTCATGCTTCCTTTACATGTTTTGTTTTGTGTCGTTCCTGCCGAGTCAGGGCAGGAGAAATTTCAGAAAGCTCTAAAACATTTCAGCTTCCTCCAGTGGAGGAAGGTTTACAGACGGTGTGGGCGACAGGAGGCCGTCGACTGGTTCGTCATGTTTGAGCGAGTGACTGGTGACGATGTGAGACTGAGGGAAGCGTGCTGAGTGTGTCGATGGTGGATGGGGAAGACGGGGTGGTTGGGAAGCGGCTGACATGTCCAGGCTTCCACACTGAGCTGATCCAAATGTAGAAAATAAAGGTGAAGAGATTTACAGAACAATCTGAGGAGCGTGGTCGATTTTCTGACTCTTCGAGTCCGCACACGAACGCACCACAGACCTTATATTACAAGACTCGGCTGCATTCAGGAACCTCTTCATGGAGTCCATGTTCAGTGAAATAGTGACAGATTTATAAACCTGGGATTGGCTGCTAATCCACAAAAACACTGAGCCCTTCATGACTTGTTTAGAACGTAAATACTTTTTAAAGATTAGAATTATTCATCAGTCAGGTTAGATTTTATCAGTTTTATGTAGAATTTACTAAAAGTCATATTCAAAAGTTACAAGTTAATTTTGTTACCAAACTTTCATGTGCTGTATTTTTCAGACTATAAGACACAATTAAAATCCTTTAATTTCCTCAAAAATCGACAGTGAGCCTTATGTATTAATTCTGGTTGTACTTACTGACCTCAGACCTACTTTATGTGGTTATTGTGAATGAGTTGAATAAAGTTTGACTTATCCGACTGTTTTGTGTCTTATAGTCCGAAAAATACGGTAATCTTTTTAAGTGATCTTGATCGATACTTCTTCAGGCTTTCTGAAGATCTCCCAATGGTTTTCTTTGAACTTTGTTTTTTCCTCCAGTATCTGACCGTTTTCAGAGAATTTTTTTTGTGTGTGTGAATCATTCAGACGCAGAGATGGTGTCGACAAGACAACTCAGCAAAGAACTGATTTTAACTTGAATCTTTAAACATTGTTGTCACAAAGATAAAAGATGGTATTTGTCAGTTTATTTACTGAATCTGTGAAAATACCAAGAATAACACAGTTTGACACATAAAACAGTCTTTTAGCACCAACCAGGTGAGTCCCAGAGAGCTGTTAGCTGAAAATGTAACATACGAGATGATTAACTGAAAGATGATGCAGCCCTCGGGTTAAAGTCGTTTTGTTCCTGTTTCTTGAAGATACAACTTTCAAATATTGTTAATTTGTTATAGAAGTTTATTTTTGTTAGTGATGACATTTGTTTTTGTCCTTGTCCACTTTTTTTTTTTTTTTTAAACAATAAGCTGTCATGATCAAATTCAAGGTCTGGATAAAAAAGAAGGCAAAAAAATGCCAAAGTTAAAATAAATAAATTAAAAAAAATGTTTTAAAAAAATCTCAATAAAATCTGAGAACTACTGGCAAAGACCACTTTCAACGTTGACAATAAAATCTGAATCCTTGAAAGAAGATTTAGGGAGAAAACTAACGATGGATTAAATTAGCTGCGTTATGTCGTAGTTCTCTAATAAAAGCTAAACGTTGTGTTTTGTTAGAAATTAATTTGCTTCTGAACCTGAAAGTGTATCTTTAGAATCACATGCTTTGTTGTATATAAAAGTAGAAAGTTCACGTGGCCTGCCTGCAGTCCTGACCACAGCCCCATTGAGCAGAGTGACCAACACAACCACAACGGTTGACACAACACATACTGGTGGAAGAACGGGATGCTGTGCCACAGCAGCGTGTGACCAAGCAGGTGAGTAGCATGAGGAGGTGGTGTCAGGCTCATGTGGCTGTGTATGGTTCTTCCACATGCATCTGAGCTCCTTGTTCTGAACTCTGTTGCTCAACTCATAACTGCATTTTCTTTAACAATAACAAGCCAACCCTAACTACAGGATTTATCAAAAAGGAAAGTCTAAAGCCCAGTCTTAAAACTGGACAATGTGTCAGCCTCATGGACAGAAACTGGGAGTTGTTTCCACAAGAGAGGAGCCTGATAACTGAAAGATCTTCCTCCCATTCTGCTCTTGGAAACTCTAGGAACCACAAGTAAGTCTGCAGTCTAAGAGTGAAGTGCTCTTAGGAAAATATGGAACAATAAGATATGTAATATAAGATGGAGCTAGGTTTTTGAGGGCTTTGTAAGTCAACTTCTTTAAAGTTCTTTCTTTGCCATTTGTGCACAGCCCAACAATCCAGGCACGTTGGAGTTCTTGTGCAGAGCTCTCACAGTCATAGTCAAAAACACTGAAACAACACGATAAAATAAAACATAAGAACAAAGTGGTTTCTATCTACACTGTACAGGAAGTAAACCATGTCACATGACCAGTGAAGTTACGTGGTGTAGGGTTATTCTGTTTTGCCATCAGTCTGACTGGCAGGAGAAAAAAAATATTGCACTCTGGTGCTGATGCTGCTCTACTGTGTGTCAGGTTATATGATCATTGTGTGTGTCTGATAAGAGAGTGCGCTGGATGAAGTGAGTCCTTGATGACTCTTAACTTCTTATCTACCTGAACTATTGATCGATTTTTACCTGAAAGATAAACGCTGTACTCCAGCCACATAAATCAGTCACAGGCTGTAGCATTGTAGCCACACGTATGTTGAAAAGCAACATGTGTTTATGTCCACAGTGAGCATCCTGCTGCTGCAGGGGGGAGAGGAGTGTGAGCGGAAACGAGATGGAAGTCATGAGGGGCTCTTCTCTGTCCTATTAATAAACATGACGGTCTAGTGTGAAGGTAATGGAGTCAGACTGCAGTCTGAGTAAGTGTTCAGTGTGGAGTGGATTATTCAAACTCCTATTCTTTGATCCGCTGAATTATTCATCTGTGAGCCACTCCTGAGTCATCAGGCAGACATATTAGACATCTGCGTTTCACATATGGCTGCAAAACGTCTCCGTGCCTCTGCATTAATTTTCTCAACGCTACACTTCCATGGTGACGCTTTCTCAGAGCAACATTTTTTAAAGGAAATTTCTACTTCAATGAGACCAAAAAACCATAGACTCTAAATGATGCTAGAAAAAGGAAGCCTGTTCACTTGACCAGCACAAATGTGAAAATGTCAATCTAGAAAATGGCAACCCGCTTCTGTTTCTGTTCACTCTGCTCAAGACGAGGCTTGAAGGATGCACATCTGTCTGCTGCTCTGCAAATGACACTAAGGATGCTGCTGTTGGGGAGATTAGGAGCTTGGGCGAGGACTTGGCCGTGGCCGACTTCAGAGGAAACATGTGAAGTCTTTGATGTGAAGAAACGTATCGGAGCTGAATCAATCTGTGGCCCAGCAGCGAAGAAAAGACGGAATACTGGAGTGTGTTCAGCAGAGGGAGTTCATGTGTCCATCAAATTTATTCAAGATATTTTTGTTTGTGGAGTCAGCTTCATGACCTGTTTAGATGCCTTTTGATGTTAAACCCCAAGTCTCATTATCATCTCTGATCAAGAGTTTGGTTTCATGTTGAGGGATGTTTGTTCAATATTTAGACCAATTCAGTTCAGTTTATTTATATATCACAACAAAGTCATCTCAGGACACTGAATAGAAACATTCATATAAAAATAATAATTTAACATTATTTATCTGAGGAGCAGACTGCTTTGAACTTAACTCCATCGCAGAACTCATCTTGATCAAGCATGAAGGCGACAGTGGAAAGGAAAAACTCCCTAATGAGGAAGAAACCTTTAGCAGAACCAGGCTCAGGACAAGCGGCCATCTGCTTCAACCAGCTGGGTTTGAGAGGAACAGGAAGGAGGAACAGATACACAATGGCAGGTCAAGAATCACATGTTACGATAAATGGTTTGTAGGCTCAGTCATCCAGGTAGATAACAACAAAGGCCAAATCATGTCATCTGGACCAGTTTCTTTAAGGGATAAACATTTACTCTTCCATCCAGAAGACTTCATCAGTCTGTGTCCTGATAGCCTGATCTGTCTTATAAGTAGCCTTCACTGCTGTGTTTCAAGCCAACCTCCTGTTGGAATCTCAGAAGCAGGCTTTTAACGCATGCAAAAGGACCCATCTGTCCAAAACAATCAATCATCATCTATAACAATCAATTTTTTTAGGCCAGATGGCCGACTTGCTATTCACAGAAACAACTTGAGGACACCAAGGCCAAGATGGTTCAGAAAAAAGCTTTGTAGGCTCAATCATCCATAGTATCAAATGAAAACTATTCAGTTTTAGCAAATCATTTAAGACATTAGGTCAATTTGTCCTCCAGTAGCCTATAGCAGCATAACAAGCCAACCCTAATTATAGGATTTATCAAAAAGGAAAGTCTTAATCCCAGTATTAAAACTGGACAATGTGTCAGCCTCACAGACAGAAACTGGAAGTTGTTTCCACAAGAGAGGAGCCTGATAACTGAAAGATATTCCTCCCATTCTGCTTTTGGAAACTGTAGGGACCGCGAGTAAACCTGCAGTCTGAGAGCAGAGTGCTCCGTTAGAAAAATATGGAACATTAAGATCTGGAATATAAGATGGAGCTAGGTTGTTGAGGGCTTTGTAGTGTAGATTAAAAGTAAGATTTTGAATTCAATTCTGGATTTGACAGGGAGATAAGCTAAAACTGGAGAGATATGATCTCTCACACTATAAATAACTGTATTTTAGTTAAATGTTTGTTTTTTTCTTGAAGGAATGCATTTTACTTGCTGCATCCATCCCAGGTATAAATGAAAATGAACTTTGACAAGAAATGACAGAGTTATAGCCATTTTGGTCAAACTAATGTGACTTTTTTTGTGTGTGCGATATATGTATGTCAGATTCTACATTCTGCAGATTTACAGTTAAGTAGCACATTTTCTGTAGCAGAACTCACTTTGTAACGAGGCAGCTGTGATTTTGTCGGGCAGTGCGTCTTATTTTGGATTAATTCCTGACTTCAACAGCAGCTGCACTGAAGCTTTTTACAGATTTGATATTTAGTCCGTCCATCTGTCCACAGCTTTGCTGACACATCAACAATCTGTAAAGCCTTCACAGAACAGATGACACAGTCTGAGTCACTTCTCACCAACAGAGGACAGTTTTGTTTCGTTTTAATCTCCGTTCACACTCTGGATTAGGTTGTTGCTCACGAGTGACTCTTTCAAGTGTGTTGGAGGACAAAGGATTTATATATTCTTAAAGGTAAAGATTAGAGCCCGATCGATATGGAAATTTTGGCTATCGCCAATACTGATATTGGGTGGGGAAGGCAAAAGCTGATAACAGATATACTGGATGAAAAAATGTGAACTTTCTACACATTAAACAGTTTTATAAGTTACAAAATGAAGCCAAAGTCATGAAAAACTGAGAATCTTAAAACAATCAAAACGACTTACAGCTACATTGATTTAAAAATGTTTATTCAGACAATATCCAGTATAAAAAAATACAAGAAAAATACAGTACATTAGTTAAACTTTGCAAATATCTGTTTCAACTCAATCCAGCACCTCCCCACTCTGTTAGCTAACATGGTAGCTGTATAACTCAACATAAATACAACATACCTGCTCAGGAAAACTGCTTTAAACTTTTAAACAAAAAAAAAATGCTTTAACTCAGTAAAATGGGGAGTTCAAAAAATGCAGAGGTGAGTAAAAACGTAACGTCTCTAAACTGTTGCAGTCGTTGGGAGTCACATCACGTGAAACCTGGTGATAAAGTGCTTCAGCGCCGAAAACTTATCGAAAAGCTTGCTTGTGCTAAAAAGATGTATATGTTTCAAATAAATAAATAAAACCATTTTATTTGAATACAGGACCTCTAATCCTGACAGTAGTCATTTTCAGTCTGAACAAACTCAGCAGTCACTTTGGCTCAACTCTACCTTAAATAACTTACAGCTACCACCACAGGAAATAAACCATGTTCAATTAGGAAGAAATAAACCGTCAAACGTCCGACTCTTCAGTTCACCTTCGCAAAAAACGAATGAATTAGAGGTAGGAAGTACAAATACTGCACGCCCACAAACATCTGTGCAGCAACACACACACCCTGGAACTGCAGGTGGGATGAGAAATATTTTACAACTAATCAAACAACGCCCGAGTTCTTTAGGCCTTTTCAAAAAATTACTGAATAGATGTGTCAGGTTAAGATGATGCCATTAGCATCAATGTCTAAACATCGCAATCAACCAACGGCAGGTTTCTTTCCAAATTTAGATTTTTTTGCAAAGCTCTGCACTGCTTTTTGTTATCTTATCAATAAAACAAAAACTGTGGAGAAAGTTATTGTTTTTTATAGTTTTAAAGATTAAAGTGGGATGAATAGTAAAAAATCGTTGCAATGTTGAGGGAGTAAAACAAAAAAGTTGATCTTACTGTGCTCGTGAAGCTGCATCTGTATTTTATTATTCTTGTATCCGAGGGTTATGGGTGCACTTTTATTAGGCTAATTGCAAAACAACATGTTTGAAGCAGCGTGAGGTGTGGTTTACTACACCTGCTTGAGCAGAACTGGTTTTAATCCTTCACAGTAAGAGTCTCAAACATTTACACTACTGTAGCCGAAATATTAGTGTTTGTTGTTCTAAGTGTGTTCACGGCAAATTACAATTTAATAATCACAACTTTAGTCCCTCCATTGCAAATTAAAGGCGCTTGCCCCAAATTTATTTCTAAATGCTCATTTTTAAAGTTGGATAAGTAAAGACTTCCTATTCAAAGATGTGTCATTGCTAGTTTGAAGGAGCTGCTTAGCTTTGGTGCATTCACTGACTAGAGGGGAAGCTAAATTTTTGAGCTGGTCAGTCTGAAAATCTGCCTTTTTGGTCACCAGCTAATTGTTACCCCGTTAGAAATCCTTCTGCTCCAGGTTCTGGATCAGGACTTTCTGCTTGTCAGATGAACAGAGTGGGTTCTGAACCCTTCTCTCTGGTAAGCAGGCAGCGTAGGGGTCACCACGTCGTCACTTCTTGGTCCAGGTCGACCTCGCAGAGCGTGTCACGAGCTCCAAAGGGGGGCGCGAGTTCCCCGAAGAATCAGCCAATAGGAAGCCAGCTGATGTTCCACAAGGACACACCCCTTTCACTTTGTCTCAGTGGTCTTCAGGGTTGAAGGGGTGGAGTCAGCGAAGGCCCTGAACATCACAACGAAGGAACAATACAACATTAGTTTTTTGTCTGAAACATCTAATCTGCTGTGTGTGTGTGTGTGCGTGTGTGTGCTTTTGTGTGTGTGTGTGTGTGTGTGTGTGTGTATGTGTACCTCATGGGGTGGACGGGCCAGTTTGGCTGCACCGGTGTGGTTAGTGCAGAGCTGGGGCTCATCAGCATGGCGCTGTAGATGTTAGCCGCCACTACCAGGATACAGAGGAGGATGGGCCCAATAATCGCCCCCTCCAGACCCAGATAGTAAGCCCCGCCTGCTACTGCCAGACCTGTCAGGTACGGGTGTCCGCCCCTGAAGAAGAGTCATTACACAAATACTTAAACAATGCCAAATAAAAGCCTCAGCACCATCCTACTTCTCTCTCCTGACTCTGCTCCCAGGTTTCCATCTGAGCTACGGCAAGGTGGACGCCCTGAGCATCTATTAAAAAAATGTTCTTGTAATCCACAAAGAGATGCTCAAAAATCATATTCCAAACTACATGAACTGTACCGCTCACACTAAATCCACTTATTACTCTGATTTAACAATCCTTCAGGGCAATTCAGGAAGAATCGTTTTGATTTCTCAGCAACTCTTTCCAACCCTCGGCTTCTCTTCTCCCTCGTTCATCCTCTGTTGCTGTCTGTGACACTCTAACGTCTTTTTGTAATGACAGAATTAAAACTCTGATGAATGACTTCGACTGAGACTACAGTTATGATTGACCTGAGCATCCTGCCGTCTGGTGGTGGTTCTGTGTGGAATTTCCCAAACGATGGACTTCATGAAACCGTTAGATCGGTTTCATGATTCCATTTTAAAACCGGACATAGAAAGTTTATTAAATGTGCCAGCGTGGCGCTCACATACACACCCTGATATGTCAGAGTAGATGGCTGTATCCACAAAATACGTCGGGAGCAGATGACAGATGAGCAGCAGCAGAGCCTTGACCCCTTCACCCTGCGCCAACCACAGGTCGCACACAGCCGGCACCGCTGCCCAGTAGGTCCCCAAGAACGGCACGGCACCCAGTATGGCAGCCAGAGCTGCAGGCCCAGGACACAGATTTAAATGTAACACAGACCCTGAGTGCAGCTTGGCGGGTGCAGGATTATGGCACAATCTGCTGCGAACACGATGACTCACCAGACGGAATGAAGACGATGTTGATGCCAAAGATGGTGTGAGTGAGCCACGTGTAGAGGCCGTAGAAGACGGCCATTTTCAGAGAGGCATCGAACACCCCTCTGAAACAAACATGCGACAAGTTACAGCAAGCACATGGCTGTGTATCGTTTGGATTCTGCAGCTGATAAAGACCTGATGGCCTCTTCTACAGACTGGCCGACGATGTTGGACGAGGGTCCAGGCTGAGACAGAGGCGTCAGGCTGATGACCCATTTCACAGGTTTGTAGTACTCGCCACTGGAGCTCAGCAGATAGAACAGAGTGGTGAGAAAAATCACCTGCACGAGAACAAAACATTTCAAGATCGGTTTTAAAAAGTGTTGATTTTAAAGCTACGCGACACGTAAACGTGTTTTGTTGTGTATTGAGATCATTTATTCAGCGTTTCTTACCAGACTCAGAGCAAAGTTGAGCAGAGCCGTGCCGCTGTGGAACAAGACTGTGAGGAGCGTGGTGGTGGTGGAAATAAGGAGGCCAACGTTCCTGCTCATCACCACCCACAGAGACTCCAAAATCTACACACACAAAAACAATTCTCAGGAAAACAATCCATGAAAACACAAAGTCAGAAAGACATCAGTGGTTTATAACCTCCAGTTATTTTTGTCAAGTCAATGTAGCACCGCGGCGGCACAGGTGTAATTATTTGACTAATTTCAAAGCTCATGCTCAATAATCCAGGTAAAAAATCCAGCAACGTTCAGTCAGGTCATCTGGACGGTTTCTTTTTTTTTTGTTGTTGAGACGTTTCATCCTTCATCCAAAGGACTTCATCAGTCTGAGGAGCCACAACAAACTGAGTTCCACAAGCAGCAACCAGTTTGCTGGTGATGAGATGGTTTCTTGAGAACTTTGATATTTTGAACCACTTTGGCCATGGCTGCCTCAGAGGAGTTGACGGGGGAGAGGGTGGGTCCCAGAAACCATCTTATCACCAGCAAACTGGTTGGTCCACTACGTGAGTGTGCTGCTTATGAGACCGAGTTTGTTGTGGCTCCTCAGACTGATGAAGTCCTTTGGATGAAGGATGAAACGTGTCAACAAAAAAAGAAACCGTCCAGATGAACTGACTGAACTTTGTTGGTATTTGACAAATTATCTTCAAATTAATCATCAGTATTACTAAATGGGAGAAAATGGGTCCACAGATTATTAAACACATGAAAATAATTCTGTCTGTGCAGAAGACGCAGCCAAACGTACCGAGAGCAGAGTCTCGATGTTCTCCTGTAGAAAGGAGGCGATGTCCTTCCAGTCCAAGATGTCCCCCAACCAGCTGTTCTGTCTCTGGACCATTTTCTGCCCACGGTGGCGCCCGGATAAGGTCGTGTTCTGCGTCAACATGTGGGTGATATTTTAGACCAACAATAGCACTGGGAGTACAGGAAGTCGCTCGCTCTCTTTACCTTCACAAACCAGGAATGGTACAGTCGGTCCCAAAGCTCCAGAACCTGCTTCTCGATCACTGCTGTGTTGTTCACTTTATCTCCTAACATCTTGTGAAGCTGCACACAAAAGTAGTAAAAAAGTTTGTTGCATGTTGTGCTTGAAAAAAAGTGATCATCTTAAATATTTAGTGAATGATCTTTAAAACCTTCTGTGTGATCCACTCTCTCCCGTGCTGATACACGTTAGTAGCAGCTGAATTCAGAGCTTTCTGCACAACACGAGCTTCTGGAAGCCAACTACAGAAAGGAGCACAAGAGAAACAGAAATATTTGCGTATTTACAGAAAATGAAACAGCCGATTGTTTAACAAAAGAAGAAAAAAGTCCCAACTTGGCCCATTCTGGATGGTTGGACAGAGTCTCGTTGATGAGGTTACTGGTGACCTCGACGATGTGAGCACTTTCATGATGAACCTTAAAGATGAAAGAGAAAAATAAAAGAAGCTACTTTAGTATCTGGGTTAAGAGTTGCATTTGGGTCCAAAAAATTCGACCCGACCCGGCCCCAGCCTGTAGCCATCATTTCCAAACTCCACCCGATCCAACAAAATAACAGTAATTACAGGTCCAAACCCGAAACCTCCCGACATTTTTAATTAAGCTTTGACTGCTTAGAATTATTAAAGGTCGGCGGACACACGCATAGGCCCTGTCATGATAACAAATTTTACTGGGCGATTAAATGTCTCAGAAATTATTGCGATAAACGATAATATTGTTTGAAATTTGACAATAATTAGTAATTATTGTCAAATTTAAGAAGAAACGTTGGTTAATTTGTTTTGTGTGTAGTACCTTTTTTCGAAGACTGTTTGAGCCGAAGGATGGATAGTGAGGGCGCGAGCAGCGTGTCTCTAAGAAAAATGGGAGGGAGGACCCTTGACATGGGCTGTCTCCCTCTGGTTCTCAAAATGGTGGACGCTCTGTGTGGTTCAAGCACTTTAGCATAGATTTGTCACACAAATATTTTAATTTAAAAAAAAATTTTTAAAAATCAGTAAACAAGTTCTCAGCTTCTTTTGCAGAGAAAAACAACTTTTTACTCAAAAACACAGGTTTCAACTGTGAATTTTGGAGCTTCGACAAGACGGGAGATTTTTTCCCAGAGGTCGGCCTGTTAGCTTAGCTCATAGCTTAGCTTCTCAGCTTAGCTGCTTTTAACGATCCAAAAACGTGATTTTGGATCGTTAAAATGGATTATAAAGAGAAAGGGAGGGGTCAGTGAAGAGCACCGGAGTTAAGCCTTTTGTCATCCAGTGTCTTCAGTAGAAAGAGAGAGACATGAAGAAACGATAAAGCTGATATATGAAAATGAGGTTGATAATTTTCATTTATCATGCGAGTAATTAATTTATTGTTTATCGCGACAGGCCTACGCACGCGGCTGATCAGAGCTTAGGAGGTGTTTGTCCTTTCATGGCCATCAAAGTGCATTAATCCCAGCTTCTGACTGCATTCTGCATCATTCATACACGGACCCTACTCTGACATGTCAAATATTTTGTGATCTCACCTGTTGTCCCCTTTTTGTAATGACAGAATTAAATCTCTGATGAATGGGTCATTGTCCACGCGTGTCGCTGAATGACCATCCATTTGAGCTGATGGATCGCTGGCAGTAGTCCATCTGAAGCTTAACTGAACTTTTTACCTCCTTCAAGGCCCGTCAGCACACGGTCAAATGGCCACGTGCGGCTGGTGATTGTATGGCAACCCATGTCATATAATTGGATGGTCAGCCGTGCGCGTCTGCTGAAGCAATCAAAAGTTCAACGCCGACCCGCACATTAAGCAAATTATTATGGACCGGCCCGGCCCTAATCCAGGTCGGGCTCCAGGTTCGGGTTAGAAATGACAGCTGTAACCTGGGTTGCCTGCCTGCTGTAAAATAAAGCAAACCTAAAATAAGTTACCATAGCAGTGAGCAGAAGAGCCATAAGTAGAGTCCCTGTGACCAGGAGGAAGATGATGAAGATGCTGATGATTTTATCCAGCGATCGCTCCAACCACACGATCATCTGAGGACAAAACAGGAAGAAAAAACAAACGGGGGAAGGGGAGTAGAAGACGTATTCAGTTAAAACATTGAAGGAGCAAACATTCACAATGATCAGACACATGGAGAAACCTGTGTCCTTCCCACAGGAAGACCTTTAGTTATTTCAAAATAAAATTACATTCTCACAGGGTTGGAAAAGAATTTGACTCAACCACATTTTAACGCCTACAAATAATAAAAAAAAGTTTTTCTCCTGTTCTTCCCTCTGCATTTTTCCACTAATACTGTATATAGTTGTAATTTAATTCAAACCAATTTGTAAAGCGTTGGGAGTTTCACTCAGGTTTCTCGATGTTTGATTTACAAGGATTCTCCTATTTTTTGAGGCTGGTGTTAAAAGATTAGAGTTACTGGAGTCCATGGGGAGTGACTGGAACAAGTTAGCAGATGTTCCTTGGTCATAAGGCCACACCAAATGTGTTATTACATGGAGGGAGGCAGGATACAACAATCAGCACAGGTCCCACTGCATTTAGAAATGATTAGAATCATTTAGAGGAGAGGATTTGTTTTTCATTCACAATGCAGCCTTACGTATATGGAGAAGATTATTAGGACAAGCCCAGTTCCCCCCAATACAGTAAGTAGGTTAACAAAAAAATGGAAACATCAGACGTGATTCAGGTTCATTTTGAGTTTAATCCCTGGAGACATTTATTCAGTGCTCTGTATAAACCTGGAATTTATTTACAAGTCTTCAAGTTTTCATTCGGTGCTTGAATTCACAACCCCGCGACAGAGCAGGCAGAGCTAGGTTCAAATCAAAATAAAATAAATTAAACACCCACCAGCTCAACTGTTTTAGGAGTTTAATAAACTGAATTTGTTGAGTCGGGGTTTTAATTCTACGTTTCGGGCACCAAGAGTCCATTTACAAGTTTACAGAAACGCACCTGCTGAGATATTTATCCATTTATCATCCATGCACGTCAGAAAGAAGTGAACTTGCACCCGATTTTTAGATTTATCAACAAAATGTCAAATTAAGAAACGGACATCCCCAACAGGAAGTAATCGCTCTTCAACCTAAGGATTACCAGAAATTTTAATACCAGTACTACATTAGTTTTTTAACCCATTAACCACTTTATCCAGCAAATATTTGCCTTTTTTTTATTGTTTGAAAGCCTGTGCATACGTAACCAATTACCAAGTAGGAACACGAAGCTGAGGCAGCAGATACAGCAGACTGTAGCCACAAATTTAGTCGTTTTAAGTGAGAACCATTTTTATTAGTTATTTTATAGGTGTCCAAATTCTCCTAAGTGTTGTTAAATACATGTTTATTAAAAAATATATAACTATTAGGCAACCAAAAAAAAAAAATCAGTGTTGTATTTTTGTCATCAGCTGCCCTGATTTTAAAGAACAGTTTCAGCACTGGACACAGAAAAACTCACATCGGTCTAAATATTTACATTCAGCAGTTTCCTGCAAGCCAATCGATTTATGTTTAATAAAATAATAAAAAGTTGTAAAATCATCAGCATTAGGAGCCACTAACAGCCAATAAATAGATTCTACACCTGTTCAACAAAAATGTCAACGTAAATTAATAAAGTACTTTATATTCTTAATTACTTGACAGAGCTGTAAACTAGACAGCTTCAGAAATCTTTAAGTTATAACGTAAGGCGCACTGGTGGAAAAACTACATTAATCTATTACAAAAGTTTTTAATAACTTTGAATATTTTACTAAGCAAACTGTAAAGCCTCGTCCCTAAAATCAGCAGCTTCCTGACGAAGTCAGGGCGGTATAGTTCCTTCAACGTGGACTCACGTATTCATTCTGCGTTTATTGTCATACGAAGTGTTTCCATTGTTTTGTTTATGCCCAGTCTGGAAACATACTCCAAAAAAAATAAAAAAATTAAATGTGTGTGGTTCAAGAATTGGCCTTGGATAAGCTCTACCCTTCTACTCCGCTGTGCTCCATTTACATCTCTCCATGCAGCTCACACACTTTCGGGACAAATCTGTCAGCTAAGATCAGCAGCAAAGATACAGATGGGGTGGGGGGGTCAACAAAGTCCAAACCAACCCCCCCCCCCCCCCCCCCCAACTATAGCTTTCCTGTGAAATAAAAGCAGGAAGGCAGCAACAAAACAGACCAGATGAGTTGGAGGTGACGGTGAATGGGGAAGACAAAAAAAAAAAAAAAAAAAGCCAGTCCAAGCAGCTACCAGGTGTCCTCACATGTCCTCACATGTCCTCACATGTCCTCACATGTCCTCACACACAGACGCTCCTTCTTGAAGCTCATTTACTGCTTTCTCTCACACACAAACACTCATTACCTGCTTGTTAAGCCAATGCCAGAGCTTGGGGGAGAGAAAGAGACATTGGGAAGATTGTTATTGGAAAGCTCTGTGCCTCGGTTCAAGCTGAGTGAGCAGACCGTTTGTGGGGAGGGGGGACTGGCCTCACGAGTGGGGTGTGAAAATAGACAATCGTGAAAAACTACTGTATTTTTTTTGGACTATAAAGGTGCACTTAAAATCCTTTCATTTTCTCAAAAATTGACAGTGAACCTTATAGTCCGGAAAATACGGTAAATAAAGAAACCTCGATTAGTTCAGTCCAAACACTTACCTGCATTTAGGATGAGAAGGCGTCAGATTCATCACTAAGTTTGTCCTGGTTTGAAAAACTAACTGATTCTGAGTCCCAAAGTTTATTAAAACGTTTGTTTTGTTCCGTGTTAACAGTCTGGATGAGGACAAGACTCCGATTTTAGGCTTTTAGAGGCAGAACTGAGCAAAACTGGAACAAGAGAAACTTGGACTCTTCAGGCTCCGTGGCTATTTTTGTATTTAAATCACAGCAAAAGAATCCAGTTCTCCTGAGAAATACAACCTTTTCCTTACGGTTAGACGTTTTAACTACACAGCAGTTTAGTCAAACTATATTGTGTTTTTGTTAAACAGAAAACGTAATATTTGCTCTTATGTCGAAAGATTTGCTACATTTCTACAGTGCAAGGCTTCACCACTATCCTTCCAGGATTTCAAAACGCTTAAAATTATTCTTAAATTAATTTTAAGTTCTCTTGTGATGTTTTGTCAATATCTGAGCGTAACACCAATAAGATATTTATCATATCATATTTACATAGGATAAGTCTGACATGGATGTTGGGAAATATCAGTTTGTTTTGATTTTGTTAAATTAACGTGGTGACTTATTTTGTTTTATCCATGCAGTGTACGTCTGCACATCATGTCCGAAGAGCGTGTGTAATTTAATAAAACTGTCTGAGGATCTTAATTATGATGGATAGCAACAAGTGATCTGTGCAAATGCTCAGAAGGTGTGGCAGTGCAACACTAAACGTGTCTGCAAGAGCTTCAGGACTGAAAAACATTTTGTTTCAGCTGCGCCGGTGTGTCCAGGTGTTACCTTGGTGTCGATGCGCAGCAGGAACTGAGCCAGGCCTTTGATTGGTCCAGGCAGCAGGGCTTCTTCACGCTCACGCCCAAACCTTTCCAGCACGCTCCACCAGGAGCTGAGGGTGCGCTCTGCAAAGCTCTTCACGCCGAAGTGGACCACCAGCTTCTTCAGCACCCACACTGCGTCGTCAAGGCAACAGACACGTGTTTAGTAGTTCTTTGTAATGAAACAACTGGATCTTGAGTGGGTTTGTGTGTTACCAGCCACGGGGATTGGCAGCAGCTGCAGGATCCAGAAGTTGAGCCACACCTGAACGAGCACAATGGCCCAGACCAGCATGATGAAGTAGATGTCGCTGGCTTTACGGTTACTCTTCTCTCTGTGTAGGAGCCCCGGCTGTAAGGAGCGGGGGAACCCAGGGGTGGAGGGCAGGGGGCCGACTGACTGAACGCCGTCTGGGAGGGAGACGGCAAGAAGTTCAAAGCAACATGGCAAACACTTTGTTAAAGTTCCTTTCAAGAGTTGTTAAAATTACAAAAATAATCCAACAAAAACATACTTTTTATTTGTTTACAATAACTTGGTGTTCTAAAATTTTTACACAAAAGTAATTCTGATCGATCTATTACTACAGTGCACAAGAAACACCTGGTCTTTACTTTATGTTGTCATCTGTGCTTAAATAAAATAGAAACATTAATTTTTTATTTATTTATTTATTACCGGGGTTGGAGTTCTCACCAGGCTCAGTTTTTGGCTTTAGATTGCTACAGGAAATGGCCATGTAAATGGTGTTTGCAGCAAATGACAGCATCTGTCCCGGCAGCTCTCCTGTGGGGAGGAAACCATTAATAAACAAGCTGAGGGAATGGAAAAACAAAACACTTATTTTATTGCATTGGTGTTGTTAGACTTACAGACGTCACTAAATACTATTGTTCAAACTTTAACTCTACCAGAGCCGGTAGCCAAGACGAGGTCTTGTTTTTTGGTGGCTGGACATGGAGGTGCTTTTATTTTTATTTTATTGGGTGAGTGCATAAAAAGTGTTCACTTTTCAGATCAATTTTTCTTCTGTACGTTTTTCGGGAAGGAACTTATTTTTGTGCTACTTCATCAATTCATTTATCAAAATGTTCAGCTCATTCAGGACATTCCTGCTATGACTTTTGGCATTTGTGCAATTTTTATGATTTAAAATATTTAGCTTTTTCAGCCGTTTTCTTCTTCACATCTCCCAAATCTTTTGTGCCGTTTACAACCTTTTACTGCTCATTTCAGCTTTTGTTCTGGTTCAGCTTCTTTGTGGTGATTTCACCAGCTTGTTTTTCAGCTATGTTTGTTTTCAGCTAATTTCAGCTTTTGTTCTTTTTTTCAGCTTCTTTCAGCATAATTCAGCATTTTTCTGCTTTTACAGCTAAGTTTTAGGTATTTTTCTGCCCATTTCAGTTTGTTTTTACCTTTTCAGCTACTTTTTTCCCCTAATATCAACTTTTTCTGCTCATTTGTTTCTTTTTTGACAATTTTAGATTTGGTGAAATCTATTTGGCCTCTCTGCTCATTTCTGCTCTATTCAGTTTTTCCTACAGTATTCTGCCTTTTTTCTGCTTTTATTTTTCTTCTTTCAGCAAATGACAGCCGTTCAAATTCAACTCGCATCAACAGTTTAGCGATGAAAGCTGTTCAGCTGGTTTCAACTTCCTCAGCTTTCAGCAAAGCTCATTCAGCAACGCCACTTTGTGACTTTTTTTCTTGTGCTGAACGGGACAGAGTCCCAGCTGCCGCAGCCTGGTGTATTCACTGATGACGTCCTGATTTCAATCAGACCATGGTGGTCTGCCGTTCTGAGCCGTGGAGCGTCCGATTCTTCATGCATGTGGAGCTGCTTTCTTGTACAATGTCATTTATTTGTGCAACATGCAAGTTTGTTTTTGCCGTTTGTATCTAAAAACTATTTTGTCCGACAACATGAGACTCAACAGCAACGTTCAGACAGGAAAGGTGTACCTCTTCTGGGTTAAATCATAGACTGTCTCAGTCATTTTTACAGAGGCTTTCACATGTAAAAAGCAAAGCATGACCCAGTGAGAGAATAGAAAAATCTAAAAGTATAAAAATAGAGGTATAATAAAAACATAACTGAAAGGAATGCATTATTTTATACGATAAATATTGGGATCAAAATATGCATTTATATTGGGATTTCACTGTGGTCCATTTTCCCCCCTCATAAAGAACACTAAAGGTTAATAATGTTCCTGTAGAATTACACGAGGAATTGGAACGATTCTGACAAAATAACAAATTTTGAAGGATTTTTAGGATGCGTCATTAAAAAATGCTTATTGAGCACACAAATAAATAAATAAATACATAAAAATAGAGACATGAAGAAATGCATGGCTGATTTTTCCTCTTAAGACCTTCATTCATTAGAATTGTAGAAGCTGCATGGACGTAACTGGATCGAGGTTCTGACCAACATTACAGAATGAGGAGGACTGATTCTAGTGCAGTTATTTTGGGAACGTTGTTCCACAGATCAGAGCAGCTGAATTAAAATCATTCCAGCAGACATTCATCACATTTATTCACAAGCTCATTTGACCCTTTTGACTTTTAAAGTGCTCTTGTATTCATTCATAGAGACCATCTGAGTTATTTCAAAGTTGAACAAGATGAATCTCATCTTACATTCACGTCTATATCAGAGATATTCAATTAAATTAATAAAGGGGCCACAGTTACTGAAAGCTAAAAGCTTAGCAGCCAGACATCAAGCAGTTATTGTCATTAAGTAAGTTTGTTTTATGGTTTAAAATTTAGTTTCATTTAAAAATGAACCCATTGGTGGGCTGAAATGAGCTCACCCATGGGTCTGATTTGGCCCCTGGGCCACCAGTTGAACAGCCCTGGTCTATATGTTTAGCTCAGTGTACGTGTTGTGAATAGCTCTTTACTACTACATCCAATTTACACTTTTTGTTTTTTCCACCATATTTATTGACGTCCACGAGAAGGTAAATGTCAGGATGTGTTATAGGCATCTTTACCTCTTTCAGAAATGGGCGGTTTCTCCTGAGAGCCCACGATCAGGAGTATTACTACAACCACAAATATGGGCGCTCTCCATGAGCCGGTGAGAGACACTGAAAACAGATCCAGAACCATGAATCAGAACCCTGGGTTATAAACAAAGAGAAACTTGGTTTGACCATCATCACAACAGAAATAGTGACCTTTGGGACACGAAAACCACATTTGATATAAAAATTAAAGAGTTAGAATCACCATAAATGCAATTTTTACACCAAGAAGTGAACTTCTTCCTAAAAGCCTGCATTCACCTTGTACACCTAAAGGTCAGCACCGCTTGTCGGCACGCCTCAAGTGTGCTAAAAATACATTCGACTTTCTCCTCTTTCTTTAGTCTGTCCTGTAAATGTGGAGGGACAACACCTGCCGTTTGAAAAATAATGGTGCTGGCTCATTTTCTGCAACCTCCTACACTCAGGTGGACAAAGTAAGGAGACATCTACTCCAGTAGCAAAAGGGCGGTTTGTGTAAAAGTATGAGCAAAATGTGTCTAAACAAGTCCTCCAGAATGTCATGCTCACCGAGATAGAAGAGCAGCGCAGCCCAGACGGGAAGAGCAAAAGCCCTGAGGTACCGCTCGGTGCGAGGACTCCACTTCAGACAAACCGCCAGCAAGTAGCCGACCACAACGCCGGACACCTGAGCACAAACAAACACAGCAAATTAATCAGTTTGTTTTACTTAAGAGCTCTTTTGGAAAATGTGCTCATTTCACATTTAGGGGCGTTGAAGCAGAGATAAAACTGCATTTTTCTGATTGTTGTTGTTGTTAAAAAGGAGCAAAACATCTGCAGCTGTTTCAAATCTATAGCCAAGTGCCCACAAAGATCTCAGCTGCCTCCACGTTACACACAAAACCATGTTTCAGAGTAACTCGATCCGCTGCTCTCCTTCCTATTTTTAAACATTTTGTGATTCGGATACCGCCTGAAGAAAGAGCGCATGCAGTCTGAACAGAACACTCATGTGATTCAGATTGGGCCAGACAGCGAAGATCTGTATTGGCATGATAAGCGATTGATCGATTAAAACCCTGGAAATTCCATTTACTGACAAAGTTCAGTCACGTGTTTCAAGAAACGCTTTGTGCAATTAATGCAAATTGAATAAAACTGCTGCTAGAGAGGTCTAATATGAGTTTATGGCGTTTATAGCTTCAAGATTTGCAAATTGTTCAGCATCAACCACCGTTCTCGCCCACCTCCTGAGGCGATAACGTTAATGTCCCTGTCTTATTTGTTAAGTCTGTTAGTAAAATATCTCCTGAACAGCAGGAATTTAAAAACAATTCTCAGTGGTTTGACCTATAACTGATTAACTTTAGGAATCAATTTTAATCAAGACAGTCACAACTACTGACTCTTAGCCAACATAAAACCAGCTATAACTCAGCCAGTTTAACAGATGTTGAGCTAAAACCTGATATAGTAGTAGCTATACGATATATATTTTTCAAAGTATAAATACTATATAATATACTATATTCACAGTATTCTTTGATTAAAAATAAAAAAAGCTTTGGGGTGAAAGCCATGGTGTTTTGTAAACTGTTCACAGCCATGTGACCTGACTCCCCCACCCTGACTCCCACTCTTCACTCACCCACGCGACGTGGAAACAGTCCAGCACGACTCCGATGACCCAACAGACGTGACCCAGGACCACCTGCACACCGATGACGCTCCAGAACAGGTAGAGGAAATAAAGCAGCGGCGCCCCGGCTCCGATCACCAGCAGCACGGTGAGCCTCTCCAGCACCAGCCGGCCCATCGCCTCCACCCCGTAGTTGACGCCCCACACCGGGACCAGCAGGGTCCCCACGACGATGGGCGTCCCGGTGTCCTGCAGGCCGCTGAGCCACGAGCGGCCGAGCCGGGCGAGGGAGTACTTGAAGGGGTGGAGGAAGGTGCCGCAGAGCACGGCCCAGAGGAGCGGGCGGAGGAAGGCCTCCAGGATGAAGTAGACCAGGACGGCCGCCCCGCAGCAGATAGCCACGAAGATCATCGCCCCCGTGTTGTAGAAGGCCTGTTTGATGTTTTTATCAAACTTTAAGGACGACGGGTGGGTTAGCAGCTGGCTCACCATCCCGACGGCCGGCTGGACGCTCTCGCTGAAAGAAACAAATTGAGGCCGCCCGGTGTGGGGGGTCTCCGGGGTGGAGGCAGCAGCCGGCTCGGGCCCCGAGTCCTCCTCAACTGCCATGTTGCCAGCTCGGACTGATCTAGCCAGCGCGTGAGGAAGAAAACGTGTGACGTATGATTAGCGAACGGCCCATGGAACTATGGGCAATGTAGTACCGAAAAAAACAACAACAGGAAAACGGGTTTGTAAACTCAATCATCCAGGTGGACTATGGGCAATGTAGTACCGAAAAAAACAACAACAGGAAAACGGGTTTGTAAACTGAATCATCCAGGTGGATAAATCACAAAAACGGTTAAAACATGTCATCTGGACAAGTTTCATTTTTATCTGACATTTTAAAGGCTTTTTTTGTTAGCGTCTCATGGAAGCTAATTTTTTTGATTATAAAAGCATTATATAAATAATTATAATTAATTAATTTAAAATAATATAAATTAAATTAATAATTATAATGAACAAATTATAAAATACCTTCAAATGATAACTTAATTGATACTTATGATACATTATACAATAATAATGGGATGCTAAGTCATTATTATGACATTTTAAGTCATAATTTTGAGATATTTCATATTTATAACTTAGAATGTCAAAATGAACTTAGTGTCTCATAACCGACTTAATATATTAATTCAACCTTTATTTATACAGGTTAGTTTCATTGAGTAACAGAGACTAATTTTCAGAAGAGACATGTTTTAGACAAAACCTCAGATAAGATATAATTATGAGACCCTGGGTGAAAATTTTTGCTCCTAATTTTGTCTAAAATGATCTTTTGGTGTCTTTAAAGTGGTGGAAATTGGCTTCTGTAGTTATAAATTTCCATACTGGACATTCAAGCAACTGCTGTAATTAATTTACAATCTTTTTTTTAGTATTTATTTGTTTTTATATTTTCTGGAAAAAGATTGAAATAGTCCTGGAGTACTGGTCAGTTCTGGAACATGTGAATAATTGAAGTTGTTTAGGTTACAGTCAAAGACACTTTTTAATCCAAACAGAACATTATTTTTTTGAACAAGCTATGTTATGCAAAAAAAAAAAAAAAAAACTAGAAATGAAAGAATAGAAATAAGAAAAAACAACTTATTAAGCTTAGGGGGAAAGGGATCTGACAGTTAATGCAACCAAAAACATTTTTGTCATGTTGCACATGACGTTTTTTTTTTTAATGTATTGTTATTCGACATGGATGAGATGAATTTAGGGGCAGCACGGTGGCACAACTGGTAGAGCCGCTGCCTCTCAGCGAGCAGGTCCCTGGTTCAAATCCCGGTCCGGGGCCCTCACTGGGTGGAGTTTGCATGTTCTCTCATTGCATGCGTGGGTTTCCTCCAGGTACTCTGGTTTCCTCCCACAGACCAAAAACATGCATGTTAGGCTGATTGGTAACTCTAAATTGTCCCTAGGTGTGAGTGAGAGCGTGAATGGTTGTTTGTCTCGTTTGTCTCTATGTGGCCCTGTGATGGACCTGCGACCCGTCCAGGGTGTACCCCGCCCCTCGCATTGTGATTGCCACACATGGGCACCAGCGACCCCCGTGACCCAAAATGAAAAAAGCGGGTAAAAGATAATGGATAGATGGGAGATGGATTTAGATGGACCAGGTCTGTCTTTGTCTTTAAAATGCATGAACAGATTCTAAATTTCTGTAAGATTTAGACAACACACCTTGAATTTTTATACGAAAATGCACACAACCTTTTCAGACAGTGATTCATTGTGTCAGATAGTATACAAAAATAATTATGGCTTAAGAGGTTTTCAAACAACTTTTATGCTAACTTTGTGTTGTACCACCACACTCCCACCTCCATGCTTTCTGCTCAACTTCATCAGCATTGGTTTTATGCTATGACACAATTTAGCCAACCTCGTTTGTGCAGTTAAGCAAGCGACGTGAAAACATTTCTGTAGACAATGAAGATACAACTCCAAAAACACTATTTGTGATCATAGTAACGTCATGTACTTTAGCTTTATACAGTTTGAGCTGCAGGGTGATCTATCCAATCAAAGTAAGAATGTATTTTGCATATTATTGTATTCTGACTGTGACAGATTGTTTTTTGACAGAATAACGTGTTCAGACATTTTAGTTTAAGTACAGGTTAAAATACTTCAGGAACATGAGGACAAACACATGCCCACAGAAAGTGTTTTTCACTCCCACACTTTGCTCCTGTTCAGTGAGTTATTGCTCATGCAGGCATTAGTAAGTCGTGTATCTGTCTTTGCCTGGCTGTCGGATGCCGTCACAGTGGCACAGCGCTGCTGAACAAGCAGTCACTGTGGTTGAGGAAGATGCAATGGCTGATATCCCAAAAAAATGTGCATTTGGGCTCTTTTTTTTCTTGTCCTCTGGAAGCCTTCATCTATCAGCCAGTAAACAGCAGGATCCAAAATCTTTCTCACATTTTCTGCTTCATGCAGTGCTTGAGAGACCAGAAAAATGTACTCACTGTTATGCAAATGTTGTATTTTAAGTAAATAGATCCTTGCATAAACACTGAAAATTATTGTCTTGTTTCAAACTAACAAGACTCCTTTATAATACATCTCCAGTACATAGCTCTTACCATAGTTATTTATGAGTCAAGATGAGTAATGTACATTTAGTCTATCAGCTTTAACATATCTAAGACACTCTATAGGTTTTATTGCCGCTTCTTCTCCTTCTTTTATTCTTCCTGGCCCTGTGACTGGCTGTGCTTCATTATGGCGTTCCCATGAGCAGATAGAAGGTGAGAGCCACAATGAGCAGTAAGCAGAGAGGGGAGTTGAAGGTCTGATAAGCTGTGGAAGGCATGAAGATGTCTTCGTATTTATAGATGCTGATCATGTGGTCGCTGACTGGAGGGCTGTCGATGTCATGCCTCGTGATGGAACCTGTTGCCAGAGAAGAAGCGTGACAGAAGCAGGATAAAAAGATGCAAAGATGGCTGAGATGCTTCCTTTCTCACCTTGAATAGCAGGTCCCCATGCAAATAGGTAATACCACGACAGGTGCAGGTCCACCAGCGTTTCCTCTCTGGGGACATACAGCGGTCGCTTGAAGCGGCAGGTCACCCGGTTGTTCTCAAAAATCCCCTCCTCGTCTCTCGCCGGGTTCCTCTTGATCTCCTTGGCCCACTGGCCGACGTTGTAGAAGTGATGGATCCTCACACGTCCGTTATCGTCGTGAACGCACCCCATGACATCGTCTCCTCCCTGATGGAACAAGGATCATCGAGGAAGCTTTGATCACAAAACTCCACGGTAACATCAGGAGGAGGTAAACTTTCTGCATTGATCTAAATCTTTCCTTTAATCCTTAAAGTTCCGACCAGAAGTGAAGAATCTTCTCTTAACGTTAATTCTTGTTGTTCACGTGTAGGTTTGTTGCCATCCTTTCATGTGTTGTGGCGCTGATATGTAAAATATGTATATACCATGATTTTTACAGTTCATGTAGAGAAGGACAGCTGGGAAATTTGGCAGAAATTTGACTGGTATAAAGTTGGATCACCCATTTGAATATCTTGGTCCAAGAAGGTTTTGCTTCTTATTGTGAGCCATTTTTCTTACGTACATTTTTCAGCATCTTTCTCGTTCCACAATTTTTAAGCTATTTCAACAAATCCTATATCAAAATGTTCAGCTTTTGGTGTTGGTGCAACTTTAGCTTTTTGAAATATTTAGTCTTTTCTGCCATTTTTTCCTCATAGAAAATGAATTGAGCTCATTTTACATCCTTCAAATCTTTACATCTGTTTACAACATTTTACTGCTCCTTTCACATTTTGTTCCACTTCAGCTTCTTTCAGCTTCCTCGTGCAAATTTAATCTTTTTTTCAGCTACTCTCAGCTAATTTCAGCTGTTTTTTCAACAGCTGTTTTGTACTTGTTTTGGGATCTTTCTGCTAGCTACAACATTTTTTGCTTTTTCTAACTTATTTCTGTTAATTTCAGCTTGTTGTGCTCCTTTCAGCTTATTTCTGCAAGTTTCAGCTTTTTCTGCTATTTCAGTTACTATTTAGCTGTTTTGTGCTAATGTTAGCATTTTCAGCTAATGCCACAGATTTTGCATTTGTTTCAACTTTACTCAGCCTAATTCAGCAAAAACATGCTCTCTCAACTTTAAATTAAGTAAGTAAATTAAGTTTCTTTTTGCCTTTTTAGCTACTTTTCAGTTGGTTTTGTGCTAATTTCAGCTATTTTCAGGTAATTTCCACTTTTCTGTGCTCATTTCTGCTTCTTTAAGCCTAAGTGAGCAACCGTGTTCTTTCTGCTTTCTTCTACTAATTTAAGCTTGCTCAACCTTTTCAGCTAGCCTTTGACCATATTTAGCTAATTTCAGCTATTTTCAGATAAATCAAAGTTTTTCATGGTAATTTCTGCTACTTTCAGCCTTATTAACTTATTGCTGCTAATTTGAGCTTGTTATACTTCTTTCAATTTTTTTCAGCTAGTTTCTGCTTTTTCAGCTACTATTTAGCTGTTTTATAATATTAGCTTTTTCAGCTAATTCCATATTTTTTGCACTCATTTATATTTTTGTGTTCAGTCTACTTTTTCCTGCTGATTTAGGCTTGTTCTACATTTTCAGCTACATTTCAGCATTTTTTTAGCTAATTTCAGCTGTTTTTCAGCAAGTTCTTCTGCAGTAAGCATTCATGTTGCATTTTTGCAGGAAATGTGATTTCTCTAGTTTTCTTTGAAAAGCAAAAGTATGTAGAAATCTTGCTGTCACCCACACAGATCACACGTCCAAGCATAAAAGTTCCTCTAGTTTAATAAAAACAAACTCTTGTTTAGCAGATATTCATCAGTTATTACCACCTGCAATAACGAGCGATAGGGTTTTTATGTGTGTGCATGACAGAATGCATGTTTTTGTTGTGTTAACAAAATATCTGATGAAGCTGCAGACAAATTTCAACAAAACTCTCAGGAAAAAGCTAAAGTTTAGTGTGATAGTAGCTGAAACTGATCCCCAACCTGAATTAAAACTGATCACACAATATTTGTTTTTAACGCTTTGCCCCTTATTGAAGTTAACTTTGTCTTTCTGTTAGCAAAATATCTCATGAACTACTGGATGGACTGCATTTAAACCTTTAGATAGTAATTAATAGTTGTGTGTCTACAGCTGATTAACTTGTGGAGCCAGTTCAGTCTAAGATGGCCGCCACAGCCAGCTGACCTTAAGAAACACAAAAATGACAAACTCAGCCATTTTGACTGATATTGAGCTCAAACTTGGTTTGGCAAAAGCTGTCATTCACAACCCTCTGAGTGCTTTACTGTGCACCAGCTTTGCTTAAAACTTTGCCATTAACTGTTACTGTTTACACATTGTGTCTGTTAGAAAATTTTAAATGACTCATTAAATTAATGTTTTTGTCTACAAAGTTGTTTCAGACAGCTGTCAATCATTTATTAAACTATTATCCCTCGTAACACCTGTGCTTGAAGGCACACAGTGAATGTTTCCAGTTTTTATGACTATAAAACATATTAAAAATAAAGCGACTGCTCCATGCATGCAGCTGAGAGAAGTTCCCTCACCATTTTCTTGTCGGAGGAGAAGCCCACAGCCACCCAGCCGTCTATGTCTGCGCTCATCTCGTACTCCACGTCTGTCCCGATGCGGCGATAACTCAGAAAGTAGTCACAGGTTTCTGCATCACACCCTGGCTTCCCATACCTGGACACAAGGTCATCTCAATCCTCTTATATCACACGAGACAAACAATTTACATCAGAGTGGAACAGGTAAATGGACTTTACTTATATAGCACCTTTCTATTTTATCAAGACACTCAAAGCTCTTTACTACAATCTGTGCCCTGCACTAGATCTGTACAAAGATTAATCAGTGCTTTATCACATTCATACACCAATGGGACACACAGCGGAGGCAATGAGGGTTTCAGTGTCTTGCTCAGGGACACTTCGGCATGTGACTGCTGGCGGAATTGAACCTCCAACTCTTGCATTGCAAGATGACTGCTCTAACCACTCAGCCGCCCCAATGGAGCCACGCATGTGGAGCTTTAAACAGTTGGGCCAAATAACCTTACGCTTAAAGCATTTAATTTCATTTTAGGTTACAAAAAAAAAAATGGAGTTTTTGGCTCCAGCTGTTTATAAAGGATGATTTTCAGATTATTACTGACGTGATGTTTCTAACCTTATGCAGCCTTTGGTGACTCCACAGTCGCTGACCTTGATCTTGGCAAAAGGATCTACTGGCGGGGCGGTGGGGAATGGATAACCTGCAAAGATGCAAAAACATTCATCCTGCTGAGGTGCAGAGACAAGTGATGGCTGTTTATAATCAGAAGGAGCGGAAATGGAGAGGCCATCTGCCCTGCGCGTGTGCGCGTGCGTGTGGAACCAGCAGGGAGCTGGCCTGGGTGCTGAAAGGCCTCCTGCAGAGGAGGCAGGTTGTAAACAGCACACGTTCAGTTTCATTCTTCCCTGCTGGACCTCTTGTGTGTTTAATTAATAAATTAATTGTTATTTATTATTTTTAAATAAATAAAGTGACCTTCCTCTGAAATGATCCAGAGCCTTACCGTCATCAGACAGGTGTTTGGACTCCAGAAACTCGGAGGCGAACGTGCTGTAGGAGTCCTTGTGGGGCTCCTGGTGGCCCGGCTCTCCGCGCTCCCCGTGGCCGGCCCGGAGCGCTCCCTCCTCGGTGGGGCTCGGCGCGACCCCCCGCCACCCAGCCTGGATGATGAGCACCGACAGCTGCACGAGCCTCGGCACGGAAACCATGACGACACGAACGAAGCGAGCGACGAAACGAACCTAAGCAGAAAGAGAACCGAGCTGGACCCTCGGTACCGGATGTTTACAGAAATCCATCGCGGATGCAGCGACTCTCCTCCGGGTCCTGTCCGCCCGCCCGCAGCCTCAGCAGGAGGCTAATTTATGAGTAAATTACCCGGATCTTCTCATCCGGGCCTCTGCAGGGGGAGCTGCCTTTGAGTCATCTCATCCATCCGGGGGAATGGTTTCGCCCATCCGTCCCCCCGAACATCCAATGAGCCGCTGCTACGTGCTGCCATCAGAACCGGTCCAGTACCGGCTCGGTTCGTTCAATAAAAATCACATACGAGCTTTATCCTCGCTGTGTTCATGCGTCTGTCTGTTAGCAAAATATCTCGTGAACTGCTGGATGGATTTTAAGAAAACTTACAGATAATAATCATTGGATGTACATGTACAACTGATTAACTGTTGAAGTCAACCCGATTCAAGATAACCGCCAGAGCCAGAGTAAATATAAAAACACAAAAATGACTATAGCTCCATCAATTGTATATGTACTCGACTACAACTTAGTGTGGTTGTAGCTGAGAATAATCCCCAACACATACTCAGAGCGCAAAGTAACTGCGCCAGAATTTTTATTTTTTTTTAATAACTTTACCATCAACTATTTTGGGTTAACTTGATCATATTGATAATGAACCATAGTACAGATTTGTGTAAAATCCACAAAACATAATAAATGGAAGTGCATCAGCTGATTAACTTTAGGAGACAATCCAATTCAAGATGATGCTTTTATCTAAATCTCTGGCATGGAAAATTGTAGGTGATATACAAACCGGATTCCAAAAAAGTTGGGACACTAAACAAATTGTGAATAAAAACTCAATGCAATGATGTGGAGATGGCAAATGTCAATATTTTATTCGTAATATAACATAGATGACAGATCAAAAGTTTAGTCTGAATAAATGTAACATTTAAAAGGAAAAATATGTTGATTCAAAATTTCACAGTGTCAACAAATCCCAAAAAAGTTGGGACAAGTAGCAATAAGTGGCTGGAAAAAAGAAATTGAGTATATAACGAACAGCTGGAAGACCAATTAACACTAATTAGGTCAATTGACAACATGATTGGGTATAAAAAGAGCTTCTCAGAGTGTCAGTGTCTCTCAGAAGCCAAGATGGTAAGAGGATCACCAATTCCACCATTGTTGCGCAGAAAGATAGTGCAGTTATAGCAGAATGGTGTTACCCAGCGCAAAATAGCAAAGACTTTTAAGTTATCATATCAACCGTGCATAACATCATCAAAAGATTCAGAGAATCTGGAACAATCGCTGTGCGTAAGGGTCAAGGCCGTAAAACTACTGGATGCTCGTGATCTCCGGGCCCTTAAACGTCACTGCACCTCAAACAGGAATGCCACTGTCAAGGAAATTACAGAATGGACTCAGGAATACTTCCAGAAAGCATTGTCAGTGAACACAATCCACCGTGCCATCTGCTGTTGCCAGCTGAAACTCTACAGTGCAAAGAGGAAGCCATTTCTAAGACGTTTGCACTGGGCCAGGGGTCATTTAAAATGGAGTGTGGCAAAATGGAAGACTGTTCTGTGGTCAGATGAGTCACGATTTGAAGTTCTTTATGGAACACTGGGCTGACATGTCATCCGGACCAGAGAGGACAAGGATAGCCCAAGTTGTTATCAACGCTCTGTTCAGAAGCCTGCATCACTAATGGTATGGGGTTGCATGAGCGCTTGAGGCATGGGCAGCTTGCATGTCTGGAAAGGCACCATTAATGCAGAGAACTATGTTCAGGTTCTAGAACAACATATGCTCCCATCTAGACGTCATCTCTTTCAGGGAAGACCCTGCATTCTTCAGCACGATAATGTCAGACCATATTTTGCAGCAATCACAACATTATGGCTACGTAGGAGAAGGATCCGGGTATTGAAATTTAAGAGACTGAGCTGAATACAGCACCTCAGACTGAGGAAGTCTCTTGGATGAGAGACGAAACGTTTCTTTTGCTTTGTTTTTTGTTTTTTTGTTTTCTTGATTTTTGAATGTCCAGAGGACCAGATTGAACTTTTTTTGGATTTTTCTACCTGGATTATTGAGCATGTATCAGGATAAAAGAAATAAAGTTCCGTGTTCCTTAGTGTAATGCTCTGTCCTGCCGCAAGATGGCGACAATACTTTAGGTTTAAACTGTGGTCAGGTTTGATGTCATGTCAGAGAAGACTATCCCACATAGGTTGTTTGTAAGGACAATAAACTCCAGCTAACGCGCACACAATAGTTTAAACTTTATATGAATCTATAAAATTTAAAATAAATCTGTAAAATAAAAAGCATCTGTAGAAGTCCCCCCCATATTTAGGTAAATGGTGATCAATAACCAATAAGATACATGCGTGCACTCACCCATTCATCCATTATCTTTACCCTCTTCTTCCTTTTAGGGTCGCGGGGTCACTGGTGCCCATATCAAGCCATTACTGTGCGACCCTGGACAGGTCTCCAGTCCATCACAGAGACACACATAAAGACAAATGAGACAAACAACCATTCACTCGCTCACTCACACCTAGGGACAATTACCAATCAAACTAACATGCACGTTTTGCTAACATGCAGGTCTGTGGGAGGAAACTGGAGCACCCGGAGAAAACCCACACATGCACAAAGAGAACATGCAAACTCCACCCCAAAAGGCCTCCGGATGGGATTTGAACTGTGGCAACCTGCTTGCTGAGAGGCGGCAGCTCTACCGCCTGCGCCACCGTGCCACCCAACCACAAAACAGTCCAATTTTAATCAAAGAAATCAGATTCTGGCTTGGATGAGTGGAACGTCTACAGAGTGCTTAAATCTGAGAATATATATATATATATATATATATATATATATATATATATATATATACAGATGTGGCTCCACATTTCCATTTTAACTGTTGGAATGACACACCAGGAGTTTTAAATGTCCATTGTGGTTTTAATTATAGTTTTAATTATAGTACAGACAACACTATGTTAATAAACACAGCTCTAAATTTTAGATTGTCCCTAAACACTTGTTTTACTTATGATGCTGTGTTTTCAGATTATCCCCCTCAGCTCCACACAGAAAACACTGCACATCTCCTGTTGCACATATAGACACCAGTTTTATGACAAGTCCATGAGTGTGGGTTACTGAACTAAAACTGAAGATTGTTCCTGCACGTGTGTGTTATTTTGACAGCTGACCCTTGCAGGGCTCAGCAGAGTAAGAACAATGACGAGAACAGCTGCTGCTCACGCTTGTATCCTGCAGGTGATGCTCGAGTTGCGCTCTGTGAGAAGCGAACACAGCAGACTGTTAGATACATCACAATCTGACTGACATCAGAGAGAAAGAGAGAGAACAAACAGGAGCATGTGAAGTCCAGAAAATATTTACATAAAGCGTGATAAGCTACATGTCACATTCTGCATCAAGCATTTCTGCTTTAAAGCAGGTCTGAAGAGGGACATTGATACAGGCCATCATATTGGAGCAAATCTCAATGTTTGACCTTTAACCTTCTTGCTTTTTGCACAGTTTGTTCTCACCTACACAAATCATCTTGATCAATCGCCTCTCTTGGTCTCGATCCGCCCAATTATCCCGTGTTTATCCTTCTATTATTTCCACGGCTACTTCAGCCCTCCCTCTCTTCTCACCAATTACCATTCCGTGCAGGGGGCAATGCTTGCTGGGTAATGAGGGACTCTGGGCGTACCAATCTTAGCTTAATAGCCTTAAAGGGCCACTCATTACCACAACACTCACACACACACACACACACGCGCGCACGTCTGTCCCCGTACATCATGCTATAAAGATGGAGTGACAGAGAGAGGGAATGAGCGAGGGACTTGATGAAAGCAGTGGGAAAGATAGGAAGAAAGAGCCAGAGGAGAGGGAGGGGATGTGTGTATGTGTGAGGGTGGTGGGCGGTCTGGTAAATGTCAGTGGTGTGTCTCCTGGGCCTGTGAGACGAGTTAGTGACAGCCGAACAATGGCTGCTGGATTCATTCAGAAACACAGCACCTGTGAGTGCACGCATGTAGCAGCTCCTGCAAACCAGCTCAGTGTAACGGTGCAGCTCAATATGTGTGGCTGCAGCCTCATAACTGTGTGTGTGTGTGTGTGTGTGTGTGTGTGTGTGTACACAAAGTAAGCCAGGGATGTTATTGGGGATCAGCAGCAATGTGAACGGCTTAGTCAGGGCTGTCGGTCAATATGAACCTCATGTAGACCGAAAACTGGTCAAAGAGTACCGATCACTTATTTCTGCTCCGCACCAACTTCTCCTCTTCACTCTGTCACTTCACAGCACACCTCAGAGTCTAAAGCAAACCAAAAAGATTATGCAATTAAAGTTTTATATCACAAAGCTGGATATAATGTACAGCTCATTTTACATACAGATTGTTTGTGTTTAAACATGGTATTACTTTATGGAGAAAACGTTGGTTTGTTTTCTGTCTCCTGGTGTTTTTAGTGTTGTTTGGATTCTTCAGTTATGTTTATTATAGTTTTTGAATCTTTACTCATTGTTCCCCTGATTGTGCAGATCTTCACACCTGCTACCCGTCAGTCATCTCACCTGTCCTCACTCATGCAATCACCTCTACCAGTTTGTATTGCCTTCAGTTTATTTGCGGTCTGTTTAGCACAATGTTTGTCAAATCCAAAACTTTAAAATTCAGATCTTTTATTTTATTTTTTTTATCAACAACAATAGTTTTCTAATTTCTCTCAGAAACCGTCTCCAGTTCACACTTTTGTACAAATGAAAAACTCAACACGTATAAGGGTGACAAATTGATAAGCAGCTGGAAGTCTGTGCATAATTGTTTAATTCAATTCAATTCAGTTTATTTCTATAGCGACAAGTCGTCACAACAGAAGCCGTCTCAGAGCACAGAACAGAAACATTCACACACATAACAATCAATTAGAAATGTTATTTATCCACGGAAGGA